ATCATTCTTCCTCAGTGCAGCCCTCCTCAGCACGGTCCCTGACAGTGACACTAGCCCCACACCCTGCAATTATGCACTTAACATCATCAGTTGTGTGTATGGGTTCCACTAGATGAGCAAGGACATTGGCCTGTGTACCTTTTCCTACAGAGGAACACCTAGATGTGAACAGTGGCATATGCATCAGGCCTGTTTATGTGCACAGCCACCAGCTCCTGAGACCAGCTGCTGCAACAAGCAAGCACAACTTGACTCCTTAAATAAATGCCCCAATCCATTATATTATTGCAAATGGAAATCTTTTTTTTTTTAGTTTGCTGTTTCCATCATTATCAAAATGTAGTGATTTCCCATTTTCCTTAGTGACTGGAACGTGTGCAGAAGAAGGCGACCAAGATGATCAAGGGTCTGGAAACGAAGCCTTATGAGGAATGGTTGAAGGAGCTGGGTATGTTTAGTTGGGTAAAGAATCATGGCAAGAAAAACTGATGGACTATGCAGAACTGGCAAAACTGACATATAAGCTATGGGACAAGGATAACTGTGACTTTAAAGAGGAATGGAAACCCTTTACAAAGTATCTGAAGACGCAACAAAGCGAACTGGACTCCTTGGCTGGCTTTGAATAAACATTCACAAACTTTTTATTGATAATAATCAGCTAAACAGTTTGAGGATCTATACAACTGTGTAACATGCAGAAAACACCATTCTTAGAGAAATCAAAGACTGGAACTGAGGGAAGTTGGGGGGTGGGGTGGGGGTGGGTGGGGGGAGGGAGGGAGGGAGGGAGGAAAATGGGGGAAATAAGGATAATATGCTTCTGGATAATATGTTTTGTTTTAATTTTGAATAAAAAAAGTTTTAAAAAAGAAAAGAAAAATGAAGAGAGAAAAAGGGGGGGGGGAGAAGGAGCTGGGCATGTTTAGCCTGGAAGACTGGAGACTGAGAGGAGATACGATAGCTATCTTCAGATACCCAAAGGGCTGCCACATGGAAGTTTATTTTCTCCTGCTCCAGAGGGTAGGACTCAAACCAATGGCTTCAATGTACAAGAAAGGAGATTCTGACGAAACATCAGGAATAACTTCTGGCGGTAAGAGCTGTTTGAAAGTGGAATGGATTCTCTTAGGGGGTTGTGGACTCGCCTTCCTTCAAGATTTTTAAGCAGAGGTTAGATGGCCACCTGCAATCAATGCTTTAGCAGAGATTTCTGCATTGTAGGGAGTTGAACTATCAGGGGTCAGCAAACTTTCTCAGCAGGGGGCCGGTCCACTGTCCCTCAGATCTTGTGGGGGGCCGGACTATATTTTGGAAAGAAGGAACGAATTCCTATGCTCCACAAATAACCCAGAGATGCATTTTAAATAGAACAACACATTCTACTCATGTAAAAAAACGCTGATTCCCGGACCGTCCGTGGGCCGGATTTAGAAGGCGACTGCGCTGCATCCGGCCCCCGGGCCTTAGTTTCCCTACCCATGAACTAGATGGCTCTTGCGGTCCCTTCCAACTCTATGATTAAGTGATTCCCTGATTCTATGACTGCAACCCTAACAGTAAAAGATGTGCCATTTTTTTCCTGTCCTGTTGCTTTTGTGACAACCTTTGAGTCAAGTGCATAAATGAATAAACATAAAAGGCAAAGAAGGGATTTCAGGGCTCCCAGTCATACTTGGAGAAAGAAAATAAAATACGAATAAAGAAAGAAAAAGATCTAAGTTCAGCAGTTCTGGAAGGGCAGCTGACTGAATGACCAAGGACTGGGTTTGCAGAAGGTGAAATCCGCTTTAATTTAAAAACATTGCCCCTTTTCTATTCCCTTTCTGCTACAAGGTGATCCATTGAAACTACGAGTAACTGTCTTAGTAAACCCAAGCAGCGGCGTAGCGTGGGTTGTCAGCACCCGGGGCAAGGCAAGTAATTTGCGCCCCCTAACCCGGGGCAAGGCAAGTAATTTGCGCCCCCTAACCCCTAACCTGCCGCCGCTGCCAGCTTCTTCTTGCTGCTGCCTGGTCTGGTCTGGTGTGGTTCTCTCCCGCGCTCAGCGCTGCGCTGGGCGGCCGCTGCACTGTCCCTCCCCCAGATAGTCCCTCGCTCTCTCTCCGCACCGCACGCCTGGCACCCACCCCCTCCACAGTGGGCGGCGACCCAGCGGCTCGGATCGGATTCGCACAGCCAGCACTGCAGTGAGAGAGAGTGAGTGAGCCAGGTAGGGGCAGAGAGCTGCGAGTGCGAGCGCCCCCCCCAGATGTTGCGCCCGGTGCGGCCGGCCCCCCCTGCACCCCCCACACTACGCCACTGAACCCAGGTAAACTTTGTTCTGTGCAACAGTGCCTTAAATGTTGCTGCTGGACTGTTTTTCTAATCATATACTAAGGAGGAGACGTTGTAAGTCTCTGAGCAGCGAAAGGCCAACTGGCAATTGTATCTGGAGTAGGTTTCCAGAGCAAGATTCATCTTACAATTATGTCTTTAGTCAAGGCTGATTGCCCCAGGGGCCCTCCAATGTGCTCTCCAGATGCAAATGACATTGAGAGCTTTGCTGAGGAGGTTTCACCTCTAAGTGCACTTTTTCATGCCATGAAAAACAGAGAAAAGCCTAGGTGGATTTTCCCCTAAAATACTTGAAAGAGGAAAGTGATTCCACCCCAGGGAGAGAGTGACCTACTGAAATCATTTCCAAGCCATAGCAACAATCCACCTTTAAATGATAGGTGCTTTTCTGCTGGACATGTAACATACTATACATTATTATTGTTATTATTATTTTTTAAAAGAGTTTTTATACCACTCTTCAGCCAAGAAAGGCTTGAGGGTCACAAAAGAAAGTCAGTCCCTGCCCTCAAGATTACAGCCATGACACAGAAGGAAAACAGATTGTGGAGGGAGTAAACAAGTTCTTAGTTACAGGTTTTACTTGTCTTTTGGTTTTTTTCATTTCTATATCACAAATGCACATGCAAATATATCTATGCAGTGCAGCACTGTGAACCTCAGACCAAAAGTACATAACAAATAAAATCACAGTAAAATATATTAAAGAAACAGAAGTACAAAATGGGTCATCTGAAAATATTATTAAAAACATCGTTTTCATAAGAAAGCTTGCTGAAATAATACAGTCTTAAGTTGGCACCTAAGGCTCATTACAGAGGGAGCCAGCCCGATCCCATTAGGTGGAAAGAAACCAGTTCCACCACTGTTAAATGTGCCTCAGTGGCAGATCGCAATTATCGGACAGGGCAGAGTGAATAAGGCAATCATTTGAGTACATAGACCCCAGGTTGTTTAGGTCTTCATACTGGTATGTATAGCGGAGTACTGTCAGCCAGTTGTCACCATCCGTCTGTCTCGGGAGACAATAATAATAATAATAATAATAATAATAATAATAATAATAATAACAATTTATTATTTATACCCCGCCCATCTGGCTGGGTTTCCCCAGCCACTCTGGGTGGCTTCCAACAAAACACTAAAATACAATAACCTATTAAACATTAAAAGCTTCCCTAAACAGGGCTGCCTTCAGATGTCTTCTAAAAGTTTGGTAGTTATTTTTCTCTTTGACATCTGATGGGAGGGCGTTCCACAGGGCGGGCGCCACTACCGAGAAGGCCCTCTGCCTGTAACTTGGCTTCTCGTAGTGAGGGAACCGCCAGAAGGCCCTTGGTGCTGGACCTCAGTGTCTGGGCAGAACGATGGAGGACTGCGCCTTTGGTGGTGAAGTCAAACTGTTTTGAAGGTTGCAGTGCCTGTGGCTGTAGAGATTGATATGGGAGAGACATGTTTTGTTGCAGCTGATGATGGTGTCTGGCTCTGCTGATGCAGGGTTTGTGTTGCCAGCCTTCATGTCTTGTTTGCAGATGTCTTGTGCAACACAGAGTTGGTCTGCCAATGGGCCTGGGGCCTGAACTCTCCATAGAGCACATCCTTGGGGAGCCAGCCGTCTTCCATTCTGCGTACATGACTAGCCAGTGTAGGCAGTGAGACAGGAGTGCCAACATGCTGGGAATGTGGACTTGGAAGAGCGCATCTTTGTTTGAGACTCTGTCCTGCCATGTGATGCCCAAAATCTTCCTGACACAGCGCATGTAGAAAGCAATGAGGCGTCACTCCTGCCGGTTGTAAATTGCCTGTGGCTCACTTCCATAAAGCAGCGTGCTCAACACGCAAGTCTGGTAGGCCTTCATGTTAGTATTGGACGCTAGCATCCTGTTCTCCCATACCCTTTTAGAGAGCCAGTGCAGCTCCCACAACACTGGTATTACACGTTGTCAGTGTCAGGATGCTATCAGCGGCTCCCGGCTGGTTGCCCAGGAATTATAAAAACAAGGAAAAGTTTCTTACAGTCCCTTTTTTATTTCAGTTGTTACAGAGAGAGGCTATAGCAGGCTTCCTCAACCTCAGCCCTCCAGATGTTTTTGGCCTACAACTCCCATGATCCCTAGCTAGCAGGACCAGTGGTCAGGGATGCTGGGAGCTGTAGTCTCAAAACATCTGGAGGGCTGAGGTTGAGGAAGCCTGTGCTATAGACTCTTGGATAATGGCACTGTCCCAAGTGAATCACACCTCCATCTCTCCCACTTCTTCATTTGTCATTCTCATCCTCTCCTCTACGGGTGCTGCTACGTGCCCTCTGTCTTTGAGCTCTTTACTCTCCTACTTTTAAGGCTCGCCGCGTTCTGGAAGATGGATGGTCTCGAATGCTTTCTAATGACAACGTGTCAGCTGGGTATTCTTCTGGCTCTCCCATGATTCCCTAACTTTCCCCCTCATCTGCCTCTGAGCTGTGACCGCCCCTCAAACCCCTGTTGTAAATCTATACTGTCTTCCTCTTCCTCCTCTCTGGGAGGGTCAGGATGGGGAGGCGGTCTCCCACCATTCCTCCTCATCTGGCCAGTCCGACAGTCGGTAGTCAATGCCTAACAGCAGTTGGACTTCAGAATTCTGCACCAGCTGCAGCTTCACATAGAATCACAGAATTGTAGAAATGGAAGAGACCCAAAGCATCATCCGGTCACATCAATGTCTCCTTCAGGTCACCAGTGGGTTGAGCCTGTCATCAAGCTATCCCAGTCCAGTTGCAGTCATAGATGACAGACGCACCAGTTGAAGCTGGTAATAATGCACACCAACCTCTGAGGTATTCTGAGCCACAAGCAACAAAGCTGAATAATAATAATAATAATAATAATAATAATAATACTTATACCCTACCCATCTTGCCAGGTCTACCCAGCCACTCTGGGCGGCTTCCAACAGGATATTAAAAACACAATAAAAGTTCAAGCATTAAAAACTTCCCTAAACAGGGCTGCCTTCAGATGTCTTCTAAAAGTCAGATAGTTGTTTATTTCCTTGACATCTGGTGGGAGGGCGTTCCACAGGGTGGGTGCCACTACCGAGAAGGCCCTCTGCCTGGTTCCCTGTAACTTGGCTTCTCACAGCGAGGGAACCACCAGAAGGCCCTCAGAGCTGGACCTCCGGGCTGAACAGTGGGGGTGGAGATGCTCCTTCACTTTGAATTGTTCTCGGAAATGTACAGGAGGAGTACAACCCTATCCTCTAATGACCAGCTGGGATAGAAAGTTCAAGCAGAGAAGGGATCAAACATTGCTGGTTTCTCCGCAGTTCTCCTCTATCTCCGCCTGCCTGCCTGCCTGCCTTCCTCTGCTGCAGCCTGATGTAATGACTGCTGCCAGGCGACGGCTAACAAATAAAATATATGCCACTGTGGTGCTCAATAATCAAGACCACTCGACTTCTGCAATGCACTTCAGCTCTTGGGGGCAGACAAACTCAGGACTGCATTTCAGAATTACCGCACTTTTTGCTCTATAAGACTCACTTTTTCCCTCCTAAAAAGTAAGGGGAAATGTGTGTGCGTCTTATGGAGCGAATGCAGGCTGCGCAGCTATCCCAGAAGCCAGAACAGCAAGAGGGATTGCTACTTTCGCTGCGCAGCGATCCCTCTTGCTGTTCTGGCTTCTGAGATTCATAATATATTTTTTCTTGTTTTCCTCCTCCAAAAACTAGGTGTGTCTTGTGGTCTGGTGCGTCTTATAGAGCGAAAAATACGGTAGCTTCGTAGCAAAAGAGTAACAACTCACATGATGTGTACACTGCATTTTACTTCTAGGGTAGGTGTAGAAAAGTCTGCATCCATGCCAACTCAGTTTGCATCACACGAAGAAACAGCGGCCGAAATCCCCTCATTGTGGGGACCTTTACGTGACCAGTGTTTTCTGTCTTAAACAAAGAGCAGAGAAGTCCCAGATGGTGGTGGCTTTTATGCGTCATCCCGCAGGGCGATAGTTCATCCTCTTCCTTGCTTAGCTCAAATGAAACAGCTATGGCGATAATGTCCTGTGGAACTAAAACTGTACTTTTTCAATTAAGGAAAAACAGCGTAGAGAGGAAGAATCAGAGGAAGGGAATGCTGAGCTCTGCCTCTCTCACAAATTCCGTGTTTGTGAACACACGTCTGCTGGGAGAACAGTTTGTGTGAAGCAGGCATTGCATGCCAGGATCCATTTCTGTGATAAAAGAGCGCATGTCTTTTCCAGCAGCTGGAAATCACGGAGCCAGATGCGACTGCAGTGTGACTTGGCAACATGAACATTCGCGTACACGTTCATAATTTTTAAATAAATAAAAAATATCCATTTTCAGGTTGCAGTCTTTGTATTTAATTCCCCCCCCCATTACTGCTTGCTCTTTGGCAATTCATACACAATAAGAAGGAATCAGGGACGCGGGTGGCGCTGTAGGGACGCGGGTGGCGCTGTGGGTTAAACCACAGAGCCTAGGGCTTGCCGATCAGAAGGTCGGTGGTTCGAATCCCCGCGACGGGGTGAGCTCCCGTTGCTTGGTCCCTGCTCCTGCCAACCTACCAGTTCGAAAGCACATCAAAGTGCAAGTAGATAAATAGGTACCGCTCCGGTGGGAAGGTAAACGGCGTTTCCGTGCGCTGCTCTGGTTCGCCAGAAGCGGCTTAGTCATGCTGGCCACATGACCCAGAAGCTGTTTGCGGACAAACGCCGGCTCCCTCGGCCTACAGAGCGAGATGAGCGCACAACCCCAGTCGGTCAGGGGTCCCTTTACCTTTACGTTGGGTCAAAGGTCCTTTGGCTGGGTCGGGATGATATGAGATTGGGGGGCAATTCCCATCTCTTGCGGGGGCGCAATTAGTGCCAGCACCATCCGTTAAGAGTTTGGGTGTAATCTTCGACACCTCATGCTGGCCACATGACCCGGAAGCTGTACCTTGGCCAATAAAGTGAGATGAGCCGCAACCCCAGAGTCAGTCAGGACTGGACCTAATGCTCAGGGGTCCCTTTACCTTTACCATTAAGCAGGGATTAGCAACGGCATACTCAACCACCATTCAGCGGGCCCAAGGCATTTTGCTGCCTGGACGATTTGTTAACTTCCTATGTCTTTAATATCCTCCTTTTCATTGAATGCAGTTCCAGTCGCGGCGGAGGAAGGGGGTGCGGTGGGGGTGGGTTGCCCCAGGTGTCACCACAGAGGGGGTGACAACATGCCAGGGCGACACTCACTGCGGGGCTTGCAGCGCACCCGAGCCACACGTCTCTCCTGGGAGTGACGCGGCTTGCTTGGGTGCCTGCAGGCTCCGTGCTGCCCCAAACGGTCCGCCCGCCAACTTCCCCCCAGCTGTAGGGCAGCTGAGTGGGAGGAGGCAGGCAGACTCCTCGGAGGCCCCACAGAGCATCCTGCCTCGGCTGGCCCCACCCCATGGATGGCTGGCCCCGCCCCTGGGCGCAGGGCAGGCGCGCCATCCTAGGCGCCCGATCTGCTTGCCCCGCCGCTGGGACCCATATCAAAAGAATTGTGCAGTACAGTGGTGCATCGCAAGACGAAATTAATTCGTTCCGGGAGTTTTTTCGTCTTGCGATTTTTTTCGTCTTGCGAAGCACGGTGTCGGGAAAGTTTTGGAAAGGCTTCAAAAATCACCAAAGTCTTTAAAAACCTCAAAAAAGGCTACCACACCGCGTTATATGAGTTGCTCCTCGAAGTCAAGTCGCAACTGTATTAACGGTGTTAAGAAAAAGGAAACAAACTTGCAAGACGTTTCCGTCTTGCGAAGCAAGCCCATAGCGAAAATCGTCTTGCGAAATAGCTCAAAAAACAAAAAAGCCTTTCGTCTAGCGAGTTTTTTTGTCTTGCGAGGCATTCGTCTTGCGAGGTACCAGTGTACTTTCTCACTTAGCCTTGGTTGCTATCTTGATATTATTGTTATTATTATTATTATTATTATTATTATTGCAGCCACACAAGCTGGGACAGGTTAACTCTTAACATATCTTTAAGTTAAATGGGAAAGAAGAAAAATGCTTAAAGGTATCTAAAGAAGTACAAGGGTATGGAACACTTTCACATGTTGGTTTTTTTTCTCCTTTAACAGTTAAGCCAGATCCTACAAATTAGGTTGGAAGGAAGTGATTTTGCTTCTTCTGCTCTGGATAAAGTGGGGAAATCTATCAAGCTTCCAGGACGTGCAAAATCACAACAGGACAGAAGAAAGGTTAGTCTCTCTTTTGTCAAGTTGCTAACGATCGATAACAGTAAATCTGCCTTCTTGTCTCAATAGGTTTTGGGCATCTTAACATGCAAAATACCGGCTGCGAAGAATATACTGTATTCTAATTACAGGTTGTGTGTCGCACCCCAAAATCAGATGATTTTGTAACGTATCTCAGCATCAATACATTAATACAGTATTTTTGCCACCTAGTGGTAACTACCAGTAGCTTAGATAAATACTTTTAGCATCTTCACCTTTATGGGAAACATAGGAAATACATGGCATGATCCTGCCAAAGTTCAGTACTTTTTTCAGACAAGCTTCAGGACTGCCACACGATCCATCACTCAGAATCAAACGAAACCATTTCTTAGCTGACTCTGGGGTGTAATGATAGCCAGTTCCACACTTCCTGATATAAAAGGACTAGTAGGGAGTGACTGGGCTGCCTGGGGAATCTGTAGAAAGCAAAAGACATTTGAGGGTTTTGTTTTTTGTTTCTAACAGGTAGTATAATTTGCGAGTTTGGACTAGTCATGTCAAAAATCAGGTGGTGTCGTGCGAAACTCATGTTTCAGTTTGCCACCTTTAATCAAAATGGCACCTGGCATCCACATGGCAACAAAGCCCTCTGCTGCCCCCACTTTGGGTACCCGTCTGCTGAGTTTGGCTAAAGTGACATTTTGGTCTACCATCTTGGTTCAAAACGGGGCCAGTGTCCAAACGCCAGCAAAGATTGCCACCCCCACCTTGGGGACCCTCGTGCCAAGCCTAGTGACAATATATTGAGAGGCGGTTGAACCTATGACCGAAAACGGGCAAAGTCACACCAAAGTGACGTTTGGGGCCGCCATCTTGACATAAAATGGCACCATGCATAGAAATGGTGATGAACCCTGAGCTGAGTTGGCTGGCAATATCTTGAGGCAGCCAAGCCTGTAGAAAATAAGACAGGCAGGCAGACAAGCCGCTTTCCAGATACATAGTAGATTGTCTGAAATCTAAATAATCTGGAGGGATGAGGGTTAAGAGGTAGTTAGGAAAGGGAGGGACAAAGCCATAATGCGAAAATGTGGAAGCCATCATTTAATCAAAAGATAGGAATGTAATTACAAGATCTAAGGGGAAGAAGAAGAAAAATGAACATTTATGGGCATCAACAGAGCATATTCAAAACCCAATAGTATTGCTGGCTGCTCCTTTTGCAGAAAATAGTGTAAAATAAAGAGTGATCCTTTCACCAGGTTTTTATTTCACCATAATTTGCTTCAGTGGCTGACTGAGGTGAAGGAAGGACGGTGGGGAAGGGTGTATGAAATATGGAAACATTTCCAGTAGGATTGTGTTCCATATTTAATCCGTTTATTCTTACTCAAACTAGTTTTTTTAATATGCACATGAAATGTTTATGCCACTGTTATATTAGTTTGCAATGAGAAATAGATATATAAAAAGCTGGCTGTTCTGTGGCTAGTTGATGCTCTTTCAAAACCAAAACTTTATGTCCCAAGATGTAAGAAAACCGATTCGCATAGTTGGAAAAAATGAAACGAAAGCTGTTCTTTTCCAATACATCATTTCCAGCTTTCCAGTCAGTAAAAACAGAGATGCAGAAGCTGTCATTTTCCATTTGCTGTTAGATTTCAGCTTCCGTTTTCCTTAACCATTGACAATGGCTGCAAAGGCTGGGGAGTCCGAGCTGAAGGCCAAACAAATCCCTATCCTTGCTGTAAAATAGGTAAAGGTAAAGGGAGCCCTGACCATTATGTCCAGTCGTGGACGACTCTGGGGTTGCGGCGCTCATCTCGCTTTATTGGCAAAGGGAGCCAGCTTCCGGGTCATGTGGCCAGCATGACTAAGCTGCTTCTGGCGAACCAGAGCAGCGCACGGAAACGCCGTTTACCTTCCCGCTGGAGTGGTACCTATTTATCTACTTGCACTTTGACGTGCTTTCGAACTGCTAGGTTGGCAGGAGCAGGGACCGAGCAACGGGAGCTCACCCCATCGCAGGGATTCGAACTGCCAACCTTCTGATTGGCAAGTCCTAGGCTCTGTGGTTTAACCCACAGCACCACCCACGTCCCTTGCTGTAAAATACTGTATTTAAAAGAACAGCATTTAATGATGTTGTTGTTCTTCCGAGAAAGCCTTACAACAATCAGAGCAAAATAAACCTAGGCATGAAGTATCTCTTAATCCTCATAAAAGATGAAGAATCACCCCGAAATAAATATGTATATATACATATATATGGTGCACATGGTATTTGTTTGGAATTTTTATTTCTTGAAAATAATAATTCATACAAATGGACACAGTCACAAACATGATTTTAACCCAAAATATTGCTAGCCTACCACATTACCAGGAAGGAATCCATGTAGGCAATGAAATGCAGCTACTTTTCAGTAGTCTAGTGCCTCTCTCAATCTCTCTCTCTCTCTCTCTCTGCATCCCACCAATAATATATATTAACCGGTGACAAAAAGCATAATGCTCGTTTATTAAAAAAAAACTTTTATTTTGCACCTCAAAATCTCTTTGAAATGTCTTCATTCTGAAATAAGGGGAATTTGTGCCGAAATTAGGAGAAACTGTTTTTACTTTATTAAATTATTCTAAAAAAATAAGACAAGAAGGTAGAAAAAACAATGCACTGCGTGGCATAGAAAGAAAAATGGGAAAAATCGTTGTCCTGAGAAGTTCACCAACTGCTTCGCTTTTAGGCATTTTTAAACATATAAAAAACAAAGGATCCCAAATCTCAAAAATGGTTTGTCGAATGCCTCCCTTATATATATTTTTTTTCTTGTTGACAACTAAGCAAACAAACCCTTGTTAATGTTCTAAAAACTGTACACAGACAAGTACATTCATGATATAATTAAACTACTAACTTCTCTGGCTTAACAAAGAACCCATAGGACACAGAAACAGTGAGTCAGGTCACTGAACAGGGACAAACTACATTTTTATATGGAGGAATAAAGTTTTCAAATCTTTCATCTCCCACCATTTCTCGTTATACTGCATTTTGGACCACTGTCTAAAACATAATATGGCCGCCTCTGTATGTTCATGATTTTGCATCTATTCAAAGTCCAATCGGTTTTCCGCACGCTTTCCACAGTTGCCCGTGCTGGGAATGATGTTTTCTTAGGCTACAACTGGTCGTTAGGGTGGTCTCTATCAGCTTCCGGTTTGACTGTCTGGCCCGGAGAAGGAGCGTGGGGAGGGTGGGCGACAGGAGGAAGCCCATGCGATAAGGACATGGCGTTGGGGACTATTCCTTCTACGGCGGTAGGTAGGCCAGGTGGAGCCACGCTGACGACCCCGGGAGGATACCTGCTGAGAGAAAGGAGAGCACGCGTCAGAGATCTGTTGAGACCCAGTGTGGCTTTTTATTTTATTTTATTGTGTGTGTGTGAAGAGGTTTTCCTACAAAATTTAAGAAAGAGTAACTTGTAGCACAGGGACGCGGGTGGCGCTGTGGGTTAAACCACACTAGAACTTGCTGATCAGAAGGTCGGCTGTTCGAATCCCCACAGTGGGGTGAGCTCCCATCGCTCGGTCCCAGCTCCTGCCCACCTAGCAGTTCGAAAGCACGTCAAAGTGCAAGTAGATAAATAGGTACCGCTCTGGTGGGAAGGTAAACGGCGTTTCTGTGCGCTGCTCTGGTTCGCCAGAAGCGGCTTAGTCATGCTGGCCACATGACCCGGAAAAACTGTCTGTGGGCAAACGCAGCTCCCTCGGCCAGTAAAGCGAGATGAGCGCTGCAACCCCAGAGTCGGTCACGACTGGACCTAATGGTCAGGGGTCCCTTTACCTTTAACTTGTAGCACATGACAACTGTTGTCAAAGGCATATCTATCGACCTGAAAGTCAGATTCACTGAATGCATGAACATGAACAAACGATCTCCAACCGGCAACTTTTAAGCTTTTAATCAGAAATGAAATCATGCAAAGGAGTGCTACTGTGTAAATAGGTAGCCAGAAGTAGAAATCCCATTAAAAAAGGAAAAAGTAGCTTAATGCCGCATTTAATTGCTCGCTTACTAAAGGAGGGCTGTTAACTATTCTGACATCTTGCAGATGACGTTGCTGCCTCTTGGGGGGGGGGGTTAAGGAGTTGCCCCCCCTCCCCCAATTTAGCAGCAACTACATGGGAGATCTCCTGCCAACCTAGCAGTCTGAAAACACGTCAAAGTGCAAGTAGATAAATAGGTACCGCTCCGGCGGGAAGGTAAATGGCTTTTCCGTGTGCTGCTCTAGTTCGCCAGAAGTGGCTTAGTCACGCTGGCCACATGACCCGGAAGCTGTACGCCGGCTCCCTCGGCCAATAAAGCAAGATGAGCGCCGTAACCCCAGAGTCGGTCACGACTGGACCTAATGGTCAGGGGTCCCTTTACCTTTTTATATGGGAGATCAGTCACTAGAGCATGAGTAGGCAAACTAAGGCCCGGGGGCCAGATCCAGTCCAATCACCTTCTAAATCCGGCCCACGGACGGTCCGGGAATCAGCGTGTTTTTACATGAGTAGGATGTGTCCTTTTATTTAAAATGCATCTCTGGGTTATTTGTGGGGCATTGGAATTTGTTCATTATTTTTTTTCTTTTCCAAAATATAGTCCGGCCCCCCACAAGGTCTGAGGGACAGTGGACCGGCCCCCTGCTGAAAATGTTTGCTGACCCCTGCACTAGAGCTTCCCCCAATAAAATCTGGTTATTCTGGAGTACCAGCTGCCCCCACATGTCCACAAGAGATTTGGAAGTTATAGCAGTAGCATTTGATGGGAGTGGCATTTGACTCAAAATGTTTAAACCTTTTGAATCTCTTCTCCCCGAGTTGGACGCCTCACAATGACAGCTCACCGTCAGCATGTCAACAGATACACATAGTGGATGCTGTCTACAGCAGACAAAAGGGAACGCCATTAATCTGGCGGTGAGAGAAACTTCTTACCTGTACGCAGCTCCATTGAGCTCTGGGTGAACAACTCCTGGGTCCATGCTGGCCCAATGTGTAGCTGCAGTCAAATGTTCTTTGTTGACACAGTTCCTCAGGTTGTCTGGAATGCGACCTAGCCAGACAGTTAAATATTGCAGCATAAGTAAACTCCACATGTGCAAATAATGTCAGGTTAAAAATAAAAGGCACGCGAATGTGCGTGACACGTTAATAATGCCCGTTTTTCATTGGCTGTTATCAGTTCATCTGGTATGCCCCACGGAGGACCTCAAGGTCCATAAATAGCAACACCCTAGTGGTCCCGGGCCCTAAGTTAGATTAGCTTCAACCAGAGCCAGGGCCTTTTCAACACTGGCTCCGGCCTGGTGGAACGCTCTGTCTCATGAGACCAGGGTCCTGCAGGATCTGATTTCTTTCCGCAGGGCCTGTAAGACAGAGTTGTTCCGCCTGGCCTTTGGCTTGGAGCCAATTTGATTCCCTCCCCCTCTTTCTTTTTTCTTTGTCCTTTCTCCTCCTGTGATGAGGCTGCATTTTAATATTTTAATGTTTCAATATTTTAATGTTGTATCTTAATCTTGTTTTTAAGTTGTATTCATTCAACTTGTTTTTATTATTGCTTGTTAGCCGCCCTGAGCCCGGCCTTGGCTGGGGAGGGCGGGGTATAAATAAAAATTATTATTATTATTATTATTTGGCAAGTTCTCTTATTCGTATGATATGAATCGCTATGAAGTGGTACCTTGAGTTACAAACGCCTCAGGTTACAAACGCCGCTAACCTGGAAGAGTTACCTCGAGTTGAGAACTTTGCCCCAGGATGAGAACGGAAATCGTGTGTCAGCGGCGCAGCAGCAGCAGCAAGAGGCCCCATTAGCGAAAGCATGCCTCTAGTTAAGAACAGTTTCAGGTCAAGAACGGACCTCCAGAACGTTTGTAACTAGAGTACCACTGTAATACACATGGGGTCAGGTGTGCACCTGGTCCACACCCTCAAACTGCCGCAACAAAACAACCCCACAAAACCTGACTTTCGTGAGGCTCCACCAGCTTTGTAACCGCAGTGGTGTTCAGTTCACATTCAGAGTTGTGCTTAAAAGTCAACGTTTGCAAAGTTAGCAGTGCCACACTTAGCAAATGTTATTCCGAGACAGTTTGGTGTCCTTTGTACAGTGGTACCTCGGGTTACATACGCTTCAGGTTACAGACTCCACTAACCCAGAAATAGTACTTCAGGTTAAGAACTTTGCTTCAGGATGAGAACAGAAATCGTGCTCCGGCGGCAGCAGGAGGCCCCATTAGCTAAAGTGGTCTTCAGGTTAAGAACAGTTTCAGGTTAAGTACGGACCCCCGGAATGAATTAAGTACTTAACCCGAGGTACCACTGTACTACTGATGTTCTACATACAGAAGAACGGCATGCTCTGTTAAGCCAAAGGAACAGTCAGTAAAACAGTCAGTAAAAGAACACTGAGGGGAACATGGCTGGCACCTGTGATAGCTTTCCGGATCTCTCGGGCTGCTTCTTCCCGCATCTCTATTGAGGCCTGCTCACTGTACCACGCAGCGTGGGGAGTACAGATCAGATTTGGCGCATCCTTCAGGGGACCCTGACTAAAGCTGAGAGAAAAAGTAAAGAAAGGTATCATATACTGTACATCTTATACTGTAATTAATCATCATCATCTTCCTGAACAGAGGCTTTTGTGTGTTTATTAAGAATAAGTATAAAAAGGTAAAGGGACCCTTGGCCATTAGGTCCAGTTGTGACCGACTCTGAGGTTGTGGCGCTCATCTCGCTTTACTGGCCGAGGGAGCCGGCATTTGTCCACAGACAGCTTCCAGGTCATGTGGCCAGCATGACTAAGCCGCTTCTGGCGAACCAGAGCAGCGCACGGAAACGCCGTTTACCGTATTTTTCGCTCTATAAGACACACCAGACCACAAGACGCACCTAGTTTTTGGAGGAGGAAGACAAGAAAAAAACCATTATGAATCTCAGAAGCCAGAACAGCAAGAGGGATCGCTGCGCAGTGAAAGCAGCAATCCCTCTTGCTGTTCTGGCTTCTGTGATAGCTGTGCAGCCTGCATTCGCTCCATAAGACGCACTCACATTTCCCCTTACTTTTTAGGAGGGAAAAAGTGAGTCTTATAGAGCAAAAAATACGGTACCTTCCCGCCGGAGCGGTACCTATTTATCTACTTGCACTTCACGCTTTTGAACTGCTAGGTTGGCAGGAGCTGAGACCGAGCAATGGGAGCTCACCCCGTCGCGGGGATTCAAACCGCCGACCTTCTGATCGGCAAGTCCTAGGCTCTGTGGTTTAACCCACAGCGCCACCCGCGTCCCCAAGAATAAGTATACACAGCCAAAAATGAACTGCAAACACCCACGACTTCCATTTCTCAACAGCACAGCCAGTGCTGAGGATAATGGGAACAACGACATGTGCATTTGAGGAAACAGTATTGAGGCAGAGTTTGAAAGCTCAGAGTAGATGTTTCCATAGAGTTCGCTGGAGGAAGATATATGTAATAAAACAGTAAGACAGCCATTTGCCTAGATTTAAAGAGAAGTACCGTATTTTTTGCTCTATAAGACTCACTTTTTCCCTCCTAAAAAGGGGAAATGTGTGTGCGTCTTATAGAGCGAATGCAGGCTGCGCAGCTGTCCCAGAAGCCAGAACAGCAAGAGGGATCGCTGCTTTCACTGCGCAACAATCCCTCTTGCTGTTCTGGCTTCTGGGATTCAGAATATTTTTTTTCTTCTTTTCCTCCTCCAAAAACTAGGTGCGTCTTGTGGTCTGGTGCGTCTTGTAGAGCGAAAAATACGGTATTTGTGGTAAACTTTTGGGAGAGTTAGTTCTGGAGTTGCTGGTTCTGTGGTTCTATGAGAGGAACATGGTTCATTTGAACAGCTTCTCCCTGCCTTCATATCAAGTCTCAACCAGGTCAATATCTTGGCACCCCAAACAGATTTTGAAAGTATGATTGAGCTGTATACTGGGGTGGGTGGGCTTCCCTGGCCAAAACTTGATAGTGGAAATGGATCAAACAGCATCTCTGAGGTATCTGTTCCTCACAACTTCACTGCTGACTGAATCCACGGAAGCTATCAAGGTGTTGTCTAAACTTTTGTGTGGACCTGTTAGGTGCTCGCGCATCATCCAAAAACACTACCTGTATCTCAGAGCCCTGCAGGACAGAGAATATAGATGGAGGACAGGCCAAGCAGTCAGGCGGGAATGTATTTTTACTACGAAATATGCCTTTTACCCTTGGAAGATTGTGTAGAACCATTAATTTCCTACTAATCAGAAGCAAGGGCAAGTTGAACCTGCTGCTACCCGAGCCAGTGGGTCTGAAGGCAAGCAAAGGATGGTCACCAGGGGCACATAATTGATATTTTCTTTTCAATAAATAGCAGGAAACAACATATTCTGGGTCACTGCATATTCTGATAATAATAAAGAGATGCAAGTATAGGAGACACTTGGAACACTCTAGGAAGGACCAGAGAATCTTCATTTAGAAGGTGGCGCTGTGGGTTAAACCACAGAGCCTAGGACTTGCCAATCAGAAGGTTGGCGGTTCGAATCCCTGCGACGGGGTGAGCTCCCGTTGCTCGGTCCCTGCTCCTGCAAACCTAGCAGTTCAAAAGCGTGAAGTGCAAGTAGATAAATAGGTACCGCTCCGGCAGGAAGGTAAACGGCGTTTCCGTGCGCTGCTCTGGTTTGCCAGAAGTGGCTTAGTCATGCTGGCCACGTGACCCAGAAGCGGTACGCCGGCTCCCTCGGCCAATTGAGCGAAATGAGCGCTGCAACCCCAGAGTCGGCCACGACTGGACCTAATGGTCAGGGGTCCCTTTACCTTTTAATTTTTGTTTAGCAATAGAACAGGCACTGAACAGGAAACAGAATCACCTGAATGGTTCTGACTCGTGTACGTCCAAGGCTGCCCCTCGTATTCTTCCTTCCTTCAGGGCCTGTGCAAGTGCTTTTTCATCTACTAGCCCTCCTCGAGCCATGTTCACAAGGAAGGCTCCCTGTCGCATCTGCGGGAAGTTAAAATGCCGAGATTAAAAGCGAGCGAAATAAAGTTGATGTTAGTAGAGGAACCAGCCGTCATTGGAACAGCCAACACCAAAAAGTGGACCACTTGCCTTACTACATACTGGAAAAATGCTACAAAAATCTTATTATAAACCAAGCTTAAAAGGTGTAAATAGCCAAGCAAAACTGCATCTTTATCACGGTTAAACTGAACAAGGCCCGGGGAGCATCATACAGATTAATTTTTGCATTTGACAGATGTTCAGTCTGTGTTTAAATGCTATAATTTAGCCTAAGGCAATACAGTGGTGCCTCGCAAGACGAAATTAATCCGTTCCGCGAGTCTCTTCGTCTTGCGGTTTTTTCGTCTTGCGAAGCACGGCTATTAGCGGCTTAGCGGCTATTAGCGGCTTTAAGAAAAAGGAAACAAACTCGCAAGAACTCGCAAGACGTTTCGTCTTGCGAAGCAAGCCCATAGGGAAATTCGTCTTGCGGAACGACTCAAAAAACGGAAAACTCTTTCGTCTAGCGAGTTTTTCGTCTTGCGAGGCATTCGTCTTGCGGGGCACCACTGTACTGAAAGCAAACCTTAAAAATATGGTTTAAAAATACTTTCCGTCTAGTTAACAGGACTTTAAAATGTGTGCCCTGTTGTACTGCACTGAAGTCAGATGACAATTTATGAAATTTAAGACTGTGAGTCGCTGAAAGGAACTGCCGCGGCCTTGGAGAAAGTGCAGGCTGTTTCCTTTCACAAGAAACTGAACCGATTTACTGCAAAAAAAAACATTTTTTAAGGTAAAGTGAATAGAAATTACTAAAAACGAGACGTGTGAAAACAAGCACCCATTAGCAAACAAAATGTGTTTGCTTACTGAGGCAACAATGTAATTTTCTACTTGCCTTAACATATCAATGGAAACACTTAAAGTTGTACCAAGTAGAACAGCACAGCTGTCGACATAAAAATAAGTGACATATTAATAACTTATCAGAACACCTTTGCATTCCAAGATCCTTTAGGAAAGCGGAAATATTTAATAAATTATAAAACTGACACAGACAATTGTAGCTTTCAGTAACACGCTTATGTCGATTTCCTGTTTCATCAAGGAGTTTCATGGCTTTCAGAAACTTGCAAGCAAACATATCCATAAACTATGTTAATGTCATTCAACAAATGGCCAGCCCATAATGTTGAGATTTCTTGCTTGCTGAAACCCAATTAACTTGAAACCCAGAAAGCTGTAGAAACCAGTTTATGTGAAGCGTATGACTAGATAAAAGACAAATCATGAACTGCCTCAACAGAGAATCCATAGAATTAGCTGCACAGCAAATTCTGTTGGCTGCAATAAAGAAAAGGTTTGTGGCACCTTAAAGATCAGAGCATTCATTTATACCAACATTTCTCCAGCACCATTTTTAAAAACAGAATTGGCACTGTAATTAATATAAAAAAAGAATAAAACGACAATTTGAAGTACCTCATATGATTGCAGGAGCAGCAAGATAGCAACAGGTTAACTAATGCGTTTATATTTCTTTATTTGACATCCTGCTCTGTCCCATGGGCTCAAGACACCTCAGAGAAGCTTTTCTAAACGTTAATACCTCGTTCCCTGGGAATCAAAGCACAACTCTAAAATCTAATGTGCCCTGAAAATGCCTGCTGAAATAAAGGTGGTTTTGCAACCTGCCTAAATAGAGGCCATGAAGCAGCCAGTGGCTATTCCATATTCTGTTCATCACAGCTGAAAAACCCTCCTGCCCAGTCGCCAGACCTCTTAAAGCGGGGGGGGGGGCACCCAGAAGTGGATTGAATTCTCATGTTCTCATGCAGGTTCACAGATGAAAAAGAGATTCCTGGAATCATCGCAGCACAAGCTTCCATGAACTAGGTGCCAATACATCAGGTGGATGGTCTGATTACCAAACCTCAGAGAAGTGGCTGCATAACACAATAGTTGTTGTTGTTGTTTTGTCGTTTCTGACTCTTCGTGACCCCATGGACCAGATCACGCCAGGCACTCCTGTCTTCCACTGCCTCCTGCAGTTTGGTCAAACTCATGCTGGTAGCTTCGAGAACACTGTCCAACCATCTCGTCCTCTGTCGTCCCCTTCTCCTTGTGCCCTCCATCTTTCCAAACATCAGGGTCTTTTCCAGGGAGTCTTCTCTTCTCATGAGGTGGCCAAAGTATCGGAGCCTCAGCTTCAGGATCTGTCCTTCCAGTGAGCACTCAGGGGTGATTTCCTTCAGAATGGATAGGTTTGATCTTCTTGCAGTCCATGGGACTCTCAAGAGTCTCCTCCAGCACCGTAATTCAAAAGCACAAATTCTTCGGCGATCAGCCTTTTTTATGGTCCAGCTCTCACTTCCATACATCACTACTGGGAAAACCATAACTTTAACTATACGGACCTTCGTTGGCAAGGGGATGTCTCTGCTTTTTAAGATGCTGTCTAGGTTTGTCATTGCCTTTCTCCCAAGAAGCAGGCGTCTTTTAATTTTGTGACTGCTGTCACCATTTGCAGTGATCATGGAGCCCAAGAAAGTAAAATATCTCACTGCCTCCATTTCTTCCCCTTCTATTTGCCAGGAGGTGATGGGCCCAGTGGCCATGATCTTAGTTTTTTTTATGTTGAGCTTCAAACTATATTTTGCGCTCTCCTCTTTCACCCTCATTAATAGGTTCTTTAATTCCTCCTCACTTTCTGCCATCAAGGTTGTGTCATCTAGGATGCAACTAATTGCAAGACTGCCATTATTCTGTAGTTCTGCCTACAGAACTAAGAAATGGTTGTTTTGATTGGCAAGCATCCACTTCTGATAATGTAAGTTCAATAAAAACTAAGTTACGGCTGTAAATGCAAACATTTAAGTTGAAAGTCCAAAATTATTTCAAGTACTCTCCTCCGCCAGTAGCCGGACAAATAAATTGGGATGGGAACGCTTGTGAGTATTAGCACTGAACACAAGGGGGCAGTAGCCACTTAATCTACGAATTGAGATGTGCAGAAATTTTATCAGAAGGCAACTTTTCAGTTCATGAGTAAACAAAGATCCACGTGATTAAACTACAGTGGTAGGATGTGACATTTCTTCACCAAGTAGAACCTATTACTAGGACAGACAGCAGACAAAATTGATACCTGGTTGCATGGCAGAACCGCTCGCCTCTCAATATACACTGTAACTATATATCTGCAAAATGGCGATGGCATCACTGGTCTGCCTCGTAAGTACCTCTAAGGCGATGTTTGTGAAGTGCTTAGAACACACAAAAATTGCTATGTAAATGTTAACTCTTATCGTCACTGTGACATTATCCGAAACGTACCTGTTTAATGGTGAAGTCGTTAATAAGGTGATGGTTGTGTTCGTTTAGGCTGCAGTGGAGGGTGACGCAGTCGCTGTGAAACAACAAATCCTGCAAAGTCGTCACCCGCTGAAGTCCAAGAGCACGTTCCATGCCATCTGAGAGGTACGGGTCGTAGAAAATGACATTGAAGCCGAAGGCTTTTGCACGTAGTGCAACCGCTTGACCAACTCGTCCTGCGGGGAGGGGGAGAATTTTTTTGTCTTGCAACAAATATTGTTGAGGCAGGTATAAAGCAACCCACCCATTCATGCAGATGGGGCTTGGATGCAATGTTAAACTACCGTATTTTTCGCTCTATAAGACGCACCAGACCACAAGACGCACCTGGTTTTTGGAGGAGGAAAACAAGAAAAAAAATATTCTGAGTCTCAGAAGCCAGAACAGCAAGAGGGATCGCTGTGCAGTGAAAGCAGCAATTCCTCTTGCTGTTCTGGCTTCTGTGATAGCTGCGCGGCCTGCATTCGCTCCATAAGACGCACACACATTTCCCCTTACTTTTTAGGAGGGGAAAAGTGAGTCTTATAAGGAGAAGGTTTTGCTTCTGCTTTCAATTAACCATGGTTTATTATCAATATCCCCAAAGCTGAATCTTAAATATGGTTTAGGACAGTGTTTTTCAATTGTGGGTCCCACCTGCGGCTAAGCTGGCTGATGATATTGTCCAACAACATCTGGTGACCCAAAGCTGAAGAACACTGGTTTAGCAGAATCGTAAACCAAGGTTTAATGTTTGCTTCTTTCCCTAAACCATAGTTAAGAATATCCAGTTTATCTGGGTCCAAGGATAACGTGTGGCCATAATTAGTTGCCAGTGGAAGCAAAACCTTCCTATCTACTCCTCCTCATGGTTGCAGAGGAAGAAGAGAAGGGAGCTCACAAAGCAGAGGGCCATTCATATAATGCTAAGCCATAGTTTAGTGTTACATCGGAATGAGGTTGCAGAGTACGTACACAGTAGTCCAACTTGAAGAGTTCTAATGAAACATGGAGAAGAGAAATTTCCAGTTCCATTAGGAAAACATCACTGTTACTCTTCCACCACTCCCCAGACTTTGTGTAGGCTCTTGCCCACTATGGTTCAACAAACTTATTTCTGCTACGGAGTGACAAGGCGGTTCTGGAATACATTTTAGAAATGAACTACTGAGCAAAATACAGTGGTACCTCGGTTTACAAACTTAATCTGTTCCTGAAGTCCATTCTTAAACCGATTCCATTCTTAAACCGAGGCGCGCTTTCTCTAATGAGTCCTCCCACCACCGGTGCCCTTCCACAGTTCGGTTTCCGTTCGTAGACCAAGGTAAAGTTCGCAAACACTACTTCCGGTTTTGCGAAGTTCGTAAACCGAATCGTTCATAAACAGGACTATTCTTAAACCGAGGTACCACTGTAGAGGGGTAGATATCTGGTCCTGGTAACGCAGACAATAGGTTTGGAGCGTCTTAGGGCACTAGCTAACCCAGGGCAGCGATTCTAAATAGGATACCATCATCCCTAGCAGTTTGTTAGGGTCCCGATTAGCCTTAAGCCACAACAATGGATGCATTTAACTAACAAACAGACTTTATCTTCAAAGAGCAGAGAGCAGGACAACAGGGTGGGCCTACCTAACCCAATAATGCCCAGGGTCTCCCCTCGGATTCTTGCAGCCCCAGAAGCCACTTCCCGGATCTGCTCCACACTCTGCACCCTCGTGCCTTCTCGCAAGGCCTGATGAAGCCAGGTGGTTCGTCTGTACAGGTTCAAGATGTGGCACATTGTAGAGTCTGCTGTCTCTTCCACGGATGCAGCCGGAACATTGCACACTGCAATCCCTTAAATAATAATTAGAAAAAACACAATGTGTTGAATCCTAGGGTGGCTCCAGAATGCCACGGAAACACCCCCCCCAGCACCTTTATGAATTCAACCAGCCCCTGGCCCTCAGAGATGTTGGAAAGACATATACTATTAAGCACCTAAAGCAGGAATAGGCAAACTCGGCCCTCCAGACGTTTTGGGACTACAATTCCCATCATCCCTGACCACTGGTCCAGTTAGGGATGATGGGAGTTGTAGTCCCAAAACAGCTGGAGGGCCGAGTTTTCCTATGCCTGACCTAAAGCAAGACTATGCACCTTTCCAACGATTAAAAAATGGACAGCCCCCACCTGATGCTTCAACCATCTAAAATAAGTCATGCATCAGAAAAGTGTAAGAGAAATAAGAGGGGTTGCGGAATAAACTCTTGCTTTGGGTAGGGCAGGGGAGTGTGGAGCCGGATGTAAGCAGTTGCTCCAGGGATGGGACCAAGGCTCACTTGACAGAATTTAGTTTCTAGGATGCTCCAAGGTTGTGATCCAGGCGTAGCTGACCTGTGGTCCTCCAGACCAGAGCTGGCACCAATGGCTGGCATGCTCAGGCATCAGCTGAGGGCTCAGGAACCCTCATGACGTGGGGCAGTGAGGAGCTGGGAGTCATGGAGGTGGATGGGAGGTGGCATGGAGGATGCCTTGCCCAAGAGGCCTTCAAAAACCCAGAGCCAACACTGCTCCAGATCACAGAGTTTGGAAGGGACCACAAAGATCATTTAGTTCAATCCCCCAGAGTGCAAGAATCTTTTGCCCAATGTGGGGCTCGAATCCACAGCCCTGGGTTAAGAATTTCATGCTCGGCCCTGTATACCTGAAGGAGTGTCTCCACCCCCATCATTCTGCCCAGACACTGAGGTCCAGCACCGAGGGCCTTCTGGCGGTTCCCTCACTGCAAGAAGCCATGTTACAGGGAAGCAGGCAGAGGGCCTTCTCGGTGGTGGCACCCACCCTGTGGAACGCCCTCCCAGCAGATGTCAAAGAGAAGAACCACTACCAGACTTTTAGAAGACATCTGAAGGCAGCCTGTTTAGGGAAGTTTTTAATGTTTAATAGGTTATTGTATTTTAATATTCTGTTGGAAGCCGCCCAGAGTGGCTGGGGAAACCCAGCCAGACGGGCAGGGTATAAATACAGTGGTGCCTCGGATTAAGTACTTAATTCATTCCGGAGGTCCATTCTTAACCTGAAACTGTTCTTAACCTGAAGCACCACTTTAGCTAATGGGGCCTCCTGCTGCCACTGCGCTGTCGGAGCACGATTTCTGTTCTCATCCTGAAGCAAAGTTCTTAACCCGAGGTACTATTTCTGGGTTAGCAGAGTCTGTCACCTGAAGTGTATGTAACCTGAAGCGTATGTAACCTGAGGTACCTCTGTAATTAATAAATAAATAAATACCACAAGTTAGCCACCTATACCTTCGCTGTCTGCAACAGAGATGACACAAATATGCAATGAAGCTGGGCTACGCTTCACAGCAACGTTACCACAGCAAAACGTTCCATAAGTTTTTGAGTCAATGTCCACAGCCAGAGATTTTGGTGGATGTAAGGAGCAAGAGTGCGCTGGGAGGGGGCAGCCTAAGTCAGTGCAAAGCAATGAACGCCTAAATATAAATAGTGGAACCCCCTTGTGTTCACAGATGTGCTTTTGATCCAGTGCATGCCTCCATTAACAGAAGGAAGAATATTCCCCCTTTCCTTCTGTAACCTCCAGCTCACATCAAACGCTGAAGACCTGCTCCAGAGTGGGGGGATCCTCCAACAGGACGGAAGGTGCCATGGCTAGTGGGGAAGGGCAAACTGGCAAAAAAACCCCCTCCCCTCCTCTTCCATTAGCAGGTGGCGCTGTGGGTTAAACCACAGAGGCTAGGACTTGCCGATCAGAAGGTCGGCGGTTCAAATCCCCACAACGGGGTGAGCTCCCATTGCTCGGTCCCCGCTCCTGCCAACCTAGCAGTTCGAAAGCACGTCAAAGTGCAAGTAGATAAATAGGTACCACTCCGGCGGGAAGGTAAACGGTGTTTCTGTGCGCTGCCCTGGTTCGCCAGAAGCGGCTTAGTCATGCTGGCCACATGACCCAGAAGCTGTTTGCGGACAAAGGCCGGCTCCCTCGGCCTACAGAGCGAGATGAGCGCACAACCCCAGTCGGTCAGGGGTCCCTTTACCTTTACGTTGGGTCAAAGGTCCTTTGGCTGGGTCGGGATGATATGAGATTGGGGGGCAATTCCCATCTCTTGCGGGGGCGCAATTAGTGCCAGCACCATCCGTTAAGAGTTTGGGTGTAATCTTCGACACCTCCCTTTCCATGGAGCCGCAGATTGCAGCTATAAAAAAGGCGGCATTTTTTCACCTCCGCCAAGCTAAGCCGTTGGCTCCTTACCTCTCTCGCCCTGACCTAGCCACTGTTATCTACGTGACGGTCACCTCCAGACTGGATTATTGTAACCCGCTCTACGTGGGGCTGCCCTTGAGACTGACCCAGAAACTCCAGCGGGTGCAAAATGCCGCGACAAGACTCCTTACGGGGTCCTCGCTGCGAGATCACATTCACCCGGTGCTATACCAGCTGCACTGGCTCCCGGTGGAGTACAGGATCAGGTTTAAGGTGCTGGTCTTAACCTTTAAAGCCCTATACGGCCTAGGACCCTCGTACCTACGGGACCGCCTCTCCTGGTATGTCCCACAGAGGAACTTACAGTCTTCAAACAAAAACATCCTGAAGGTCCCAGGCCACAGAGAGGTTAGGCTGGCCTCAACCAGAGCCAGGGCTTTTTCGGCCTGTGGCTCCGATCTGGTGGAACGCTCTGTCACAAGAGACTAGGGCCCTGCGGGACTTGACATCTTTCCGCAGGGCCTGCAAGACAGAGCTGTTCCACCAGGCCTTTGGCCAGGGCACAGCCTGACTCCCTCCTTTGGCAATCCTCACAGAACTCTAGCCCAATGGTTGCCATTAATCTGATTTGAACTGATTTTATAATGAAATGATTTTAGAATGTTGTATTATTTTACTGTTGTTAGCTGCCCTGAGCCCGGCTTCGGCTGGGGAGGGCAGGATATAAATAAAAATTTATTTTTATTTATTTATTTTTGTAAGCACCAACTGGAGTACCCTTACTTGAGTTATTCAATTAATTTCAAATACAGAGTACCACACTTAAGTGCACCTTCAAACACGTCAGCAAAGTTTGGACACCAAACCCCTTGGGTTTCTACATAAAATTTCACAGACGTGAATTAACGACATACCTAAATCGCCAGCAGATTTAATATCAATGTTATCAAAACCACTTCCAATTCTAACGATTATTCGAAGTGCTTTAAACTTCTCCAGGTCTTCACGGGTTAAAGTGATAGTGTGGTACATCAGGGCTCCCACTGCTTCATTTAGTACCTGAAAAACAAAGGCAAACACAAGTCAGTTACGTTCTCAACACGCCCTCCAGAATTCCAATTCCTGGGGTACACGCCATCGCCTCCAATAGTCTGGTCATCTCTCAAGGGAGAATTTCAAGGTGCGGTTGCAGCAGAATGGGTAGCAAAATGATTGCCTGAGACTTACTGTTCACTTGAGAGACCTGTTCACAAATGCTACTATATTTTGCTAGTTCCCCCTGGGAGGTGAGAGGGACGCGGGTGGCACTGTGGGTTAAACCACAGAGCCTAGGACTTGCTGATCAGAAGGTCGGCGGTTCGAATCCCCGCGACGGGGTGAGCTCCCGTTGCTCGGTCCCTGCTCCTGCCAATCTAGCAGTTCGAAAGCATGACAAAGTGCAAGTAGATAAATAGTTACCGCTCAGGCGGGAAGGTAAACGGCGTTTCCATGCACTGCTCTGGTTCGCCAGAAGCGGCTTAGTCATGCTGGCCACATGACCCGGAAGCTGTACGCCGGGTCCCTCGGCCAATAAAGCGAGATGAGCGCCGCAACCCCAGAGTCGGCCGCGACTGGACCTAATGGTCAGGGGCCCCTTTACCTTTACCTTTAACCTAGCAAAATACCATGGATTAAGATGTTACGTACTTGGTAATCTGACTACTCTGGACCCGGTGCCCACCAACAGTCTGAGGTGCAGGTTTTGTTTTTAGCATCATGGCAAATCTCAAGACATTTATCAGGTTTCACTGAACTTGAGTGTACCCTAGTTGTTTAAGGCAAGAAAAAAGCCTTTGGGGAAATAAAGCAAAATAGAAAAATAGAGCAAAGCAATGGAAGTGTTTTCTTGTGGAGCTATTAGCACTGTGGAGAACGGTTGTTCCTTTCTGATCCTTTAACTTTTACTAAAAGCGTAACACAAATAAAACAAGTGAAAGGCAGTTTCCATCCCTACCTATCCTTCAAAGTAAAATAACTCTAGAGATAGGCATTATGCAAAGAGCTCCAAAGCGAGCCAAGATTTTATGTTCCAAAACATCATCTGGTGTCAATTTATACAAGAGGCATCTAAGGTCACGAAGAATTTCCCATCAGCTCTCCAATAAGTGGTCGGCTGGCAAGAGTTTCTCTTGCTGTCAATAGTTTGCTTATTTCTCGAAAGGAGTAACAAAAAAAACCACACCTCTATAAGGATCAAAATTGCCATAAGCACATCCAATGGCACAACTGGTACCAATTGGGGTTTTGCCATCTCCCATTCCACCTTGTGGAATGCAGATGACACAACCTTGATGGCAGAAAGTGAGGAGGAATTAAAGAACCTTTTAATGAGGGTGAAAGAGGAGAGCGCAAAATATGGTCTGTAGCTCAACATCAAAAAAACTAAGATCATGGCCACTGGTCCCATCACCTCCTGGCAAATAGAAGGGGAAGAAATGGAGGCAGTGAGAGATTTTACTTTCTTGGGCTCCATGATCACTGCAGATGGTGACAGCAGCCACAAAATTAAAAGACGCCTGCTTCTTGGGAGAAAAGCAATGACAAACCTAGACAGCATCTTAAGAAGCAGAGACATCCCCTTGCCAACGAAGGTCCGTATAGTTAAAGCTATGGTTTTCCCAGTAGTGATGTATGGAAGTGAAAGCTGGACCATAAAGAAGGCTGATCGCCAAAGAATTGATGCTTTTGAATTATGGTGCTGGAGGAGACTTGAGAGTCCCATGGACTGCAAGAAGATCCAACCTATCCATTCTGAAGGAAATCAGCCCTGAGTGCTCACTGGAAGGACAGATCCTGAAGCTGAGGCTCCAATACTTTGGCCACCTCCTGAGAAGAGAAGACTCCCTGGAAAAGACCCTGATGTTGGGAAAGATGGAGGGCACAAGGAGAAGGGGACGACAGAGGACGAGATGGTGGGACAATGTTCTCGAAGCTACCAGCATGAGTTTGACCAAACTGCGGGAGGCAGTGGAAGACAGGAGTGCCTGGCGTGCTCTGGTCCATGGGGTCACGAAGAGTCGGACACGACTAAACAACTAAACAACAATTCCACCTTGTTCCCATCACACTGTTGCTGCAGCCACTGTGCAGAGAGACAGAAGAGATGAATAGGATCAGCTGCTAGGCTTAATGCACACCTATGGCTGCTCTCTATTCTTCAGCAGAAGTTCTCCTTTGCCTCTTATTTTGGCTGCCAACTTTACCTGCACCCAAGAGGCTGAAGAAGCCTACAGCTTGTTTCAGAAAAGCAAAGGAAAGCATAGCATAGGAGCTCCCCCAAAATATAAACTCTTTCCCCCCCAGGGACTCCTGCCCAGCAGGACGTGTATTAAAGGAGCACTTTACAAATCAATCGTATCTTCTGCACAGGCCTCATTTCTTCACATTTTAGCCCTAAGCTCCCAGATGGCTCACTAAAAGCTCTTGAGATGGCGTACAAAACATATGAAAATAATATTAATAATAATAATAATATTAAGGGCAGTGCTTTCGGGGGGGGTGCCAGTCCTCACATTTTGATCAATTATAAAGTGCCTCTCTTCCCTTCCCTACTGAACTTGTGACAAACGTTTAATTAAAATGTGGATAATAATAATAAATAAAAACCGAAATGGTTAACGTTTTATGCACCGTGTTTATTGCTTTGAATGATAAAAGAATTAAAAACTGTGAATAGTGCCAAGGGCACCGGTCACAAAAAGGCCACTGCAGGGTGTGTCTTCTGTGAAGGCAAAGCACTGCACAAAATTAGAGAGTTGCTGCGGATTGCCTTTGCCCAATCTCATGTTTACCATGGGAAGTCAGTGCTATGTCCTGTGTTTGTGACAATCACACAATATTTGTGTGACAAACACACACACACATGGGGAGGGAGATAAGCTGTTATTGTCCACTAACAATAGGCAGCATTCACTGGTCCCAGGTACCAGTACACTGGTACCAGATACCAGGTGGTAAAGGACCCCTGGATGGTTAAGTCCGGTCAAAGGTGACTATGGGGTTGTGGCGTTCATCTTGCTCTACAGGCCGAGGGAGCCAGCGTTTGTCCACAGACAGCTTTCTGGGTCATGTGGCTTCTTTCCACTACTGGCACAACTGAACACTGTGATGTAAGCCAGAGCGCACAGAAACGCCATTTACCTTCCAGCGACAGCAGTGCCTATTTATCTACTTGCACTGGTGTGCTTTCGAACTGCTAACTGCTAGGTTGGCAGGAGCAGGGAGCGAGCAACAGGAGCTCACTCCATCGCAGGGATTTGAACCGCCAACTTTCCGTTCGGCAAGCCCAAGAGGCTCAGTGGTTTAGACCACAGCGCCACCCGTGCTCCTAGGGTAATAATGTATTGCCATTAACATATCAAAGCTATCACACGCTGTAGCCATGGGTGATCTCACCCAGAAGCTCCATACAAATATTGGCAGTCTGCCACCTATGGCCTTTGCTATTCCACCACGCTCAGCTGTCCCAAAGTCTACCACTTCCTGAAAGCAATGGGTTGCACCATTCCAGAGCCTTGTAATGAACTCTGACCAAAGCTTTTTTAACCTTTTTGAACCCAGCTGCTCTGTAGGCCACGAGTCGCATGTAGGAAAGGGTTGTTGTTGTTTAGTCGTTGAGTCGTGTCCGACTCTTCGTGACCCCCTGGACCAGAGCATGCCAGGCACTCCTGTCTTCCACTGCCTCCCGCAGTTTGGTCAAAGTCATGCTGGTAGCTTCGAGAACACTGTCCAACCATCTTGTCCTCTGTCGTCCCCTTCTCCTTGTGCCCTCCATCTTTCCCAACATCAGGGTCGTTTCCCGAGTCTTCTCTTCTCCTGAGGGGGCCAAAGTATTGGAGCCTCAGCTTCAGGATCTGTCCTTCCAGTGAGCACTCAGGGCTGATTTCCTTAAGATTGGAGAGGTTTGATCTTCTTGCAGTCCATGGGACTCTCAAGAGTCTCCTCCAGCACTATAATTCAAAAGCATCAATTCTTCGGGGATCAGGAAAGGGTATTTAGCAGCAACCGTGTTAGTGGACCTGAAAGTGAGTCTATTGTCTACACCCCAGCATTGCAGGGGGTTAGTCTAGACTTCCAACTCTGCAATTCTACGACTTTGAAGTAGCATCTTGTCTGAAAGGCCCTGATTCCCTGCACACACACCCCTGCCCGCCCAAATAAAAAAGCTAGGTAGGAGAAATAGCGCAGTGCTGAACATTCTCCCTTCACTGAATTAGGAAACTGAATGTGCTTATCTTCAGGAAAAATGAGGTCTGACCTATGGTAACCTTGGATTTAAAGGTCAGTCGCCCATATTGGAGTGGAAACATTTGAGTGTTTCTGACGAGATGCAATCTGAAGCAAGTTATCCTGTGAGATGCTGCCAACATCTCTGGTGAAATCTTCCATCTATTAGAGGACACAAACCTGACATTTCTCTGAAAAGGTCAGCCATTAGCAGTTTATAGAAATTACACTAATTTATTTGGTAGGGAACCAATTTTTTTTTTTTGAGACTTCACAGATAGATCCGGATCTATAGTTCAATACTAGTTCAAATTTATTCTGCAGAGACACTAGCCATTTCTGTGTTGGGCTGTTCCAAAAAGCAGATGTTTAGCGTTCTTACAACACATTTCATATGTTTAAAAAAATGTACACTTTCCCAATAGCCTCTAAGAAACTCTCTGCAAGGCCAGCATTGCTATAAATCGGGATGGGTCTTATTTTCAGCCTGAGGGCAACTGTCTTCCTCAAAGGCAAGCTTCTGGGAGTTGCAAGCTAGTGGTGAGCAGTGCCAAAGGCAAAACAAGGAACACAGAGGGACCATGCGGCGCTGATATTTGTAGAGTGGGCTATATTCCAGCCACACAGAAGTCATAGGTTTATAAACACAAAACCCCATTTCCATCCTCTATCCTCCATCCAGGCAAGTAAGGTAAAGGTAAAGGGACCCCTGACCATTAGGTCCAGTCGTGGCCGACTCTGGGGTTGCGGCGCTCATCTCACTTTATTGGCCAAGGGAGCTGGCGTACAGCTTCCAGGTCATGTGGCCAGCATGACTAAGTCGCTTCTGGCGAACCAGAGCAGCGCATGGAAACGCCGTTTACCTTCCCACTGGAGTGGTACCTATTTATCTACTTGCACTTTGACGTGCTTTTGAGCTGCTAGGTTGGCAGGAGCAGGGACCGAGTAATGGGAGCTCACCCCATCGTGGGATTCAAACCGCCAACCTTCTGATTGGCAAGTCCTAGGCTCTGTGGCTTAGACCACAGCGCCACCCGCATCCCTTTTATCCAGGCAAGTAACAGGCCCTAATCACAGTTCAGGAATGCATTCCAGGCAAGCAAACGCACCACAAGAGGGTGCTGAGAGTGGCTGTGGCCTGAGGAGAGTTGAGAAGAATAGAATAGAATAGAATTTATTATTTATACCCCGCCCATCTGACTGGGTTTCCCCAGACACTCTGGGCAGCTTCCAACAAAGCATTAAAATACAGTAGTCTGTTAAACATTAAAAGCTTCCCTAAAGAGGGCTGCCTTCAGATGTCTTCTAAAAATCTGGTAGTTGTTTTTCTCTTTGACATCTGGTGGGAGGGCATTCCACAGGGCGGGTGCCACTACCAAGAAGGCCCTCTGCCTGGTTCCCTGTAACCGAGAAGGCCAGGAACTGGTACAGAGGGGTGCATTTGGCCTCTGGTTCCCAGTCCCTGAAATCATTCAAGCACATACATGACTCTTGGAAGACCTAGAGGGATCATCAACAAAGTAGACTTACTGGTTTTGCACTCATAACTCAGTTTAGAACCCTTCTCCTGTTATTGTTGCAACTGGTGGGAGCAATCTCCAAACCATCCAACCAACCATTCAACCAGGAAAGAGAGCACCTGGTACTGGCAGCTGGTAGCCAAGGCTGGCTTCCCCAGTCTGAAAGGGCATGCCACCAGAGCCCGGATATCTGAGAGTCCTAAATATTTACAGTCGTACCTTGGATCTTGAATGCCTTGGTACTCGGACATTTTGTCTCCCAAACACCCGGAAGTGACTGTTCCTGTTTGCAAACTATTTTTGGAAGCCGAAAGTCCGATTGGCTGCAGGAGCTTCCTGCAGCCAACCACAAGCCGCGCTTTGGTTTCCGAACGTTTCGGAAGTCGAACGGACTCCCGGAAAGGATTCCGTTTGACTTCCAAGGTACGCCTGTATTAGTTAAGCTTAAGGTCAGGCTTCCTCAACCTCGGCCCTCCAGATGTTTTGAGACTACAATTCCCAGCATCCCTGACCACTGGTCCTGCTAGCTAGGGATCATGGGAGTTGTAGGTCAAAAACATCTGGAGGGCCGAGGTTGAGGAAGCCTGCTTAAGGTTGTTGTTGTTTTTTACCATTTTTGAGATTTGCCAGGATGGACACAGTGCACTTCTAACCAGAGCTGTATACTCCTCTGCGCATTATCTGTAGAACAGCTTGCCATTTCAGATTATCCTTTTAGGTGCTGCACAGAAAATGGGGAAAGTGGTAGTGGTACATGGTGTTCACAATACCGTATTTTTCGCTCTATAGGACACACTTTTCCCCCTCCAAAAACGAAGGGGAAATGTGTGTGCGTCTTATGGAGCGAATGCAGGCTCCTTGGCTTCAGCGATAGCAACGCAAAGCCTCCGAAGCGCAGAGGGAGAGCTCCCCCCAAGCTCCGGAGGCTTTGCATTGCTTTTGTTGAAGCCGCATGAAGCCCCCGGAGCGCAGCGGGAACTCCCACTGCGCTCTGGGGGCTTCAGGCAGCTATCCGCAAGCCTTCAGAGCGCAGCAGGAGTTCCCGCTGCGCTCCGAAGGCTTGCGGATAGCCGTCTGAAGAATGAGAGGGGTCAGTGCACACCGATCCCTCTTGCTCTCCAGGCTTCGCTTCGCTGGAGAGGCGCTGCACAGTTTTCCCTCTCTGTTCCGTTTCTCCTCCCGCTTCGCTGAAGGGGTGCTGAGCAGAGAGGGAGAGATTTATTTTCCCCTGTTCTCCCCCTCCTATGGTCCAGTGTGTCCTATAGAGCGAAAAATACGGTACTTCCTAGACGGGTAATTTAAATAAATGTTCAGCTGCACCTTTTCATGAATTTCTTGCGTGGACTGTGCATCGCAAAACGCAACAGTGGCGACGTCCTTCAGGATTGGCATTTCCACTGTGCAGTCCCGGCCATCCAGCAGTGCTACCAAGGGACGCGGGTGCATGGGCCCATTCATGATTGGTGGTCGAATGCCTGAAACAAAAAGGGGAAACAGTGTTTTATACACATGCTAAGTTACATCTCCAAGTGAAATAATGTAAACAAAATATCTTTCTTGAACAGCTTACGGGTCATCAGAAGTAATGACCAGGGGTGGCAGAGAGAATGAATTCTGACTAGCTGAAGCGAAGAAAAATTGTATTTATTCGCTGGCAGACCTTTAAAAGCGACTTCTTTTGAAGCCATGAGAAAATGGAAATAATAGAATCACCGCAGACTATGTACTTCAGGATAGTGAAATTGCGAAGACACGATACAGTGGTGCCTCGCAAGACGAAATTAATTCGTTCCGCGAGTTTTTTCGTCTTGCGGTTTTTTCGTCTTGCGAAGCACGGTGTCGGAAAAGTTTTGGAAAAGCTTCAAAAGTCACCAAAAACCTCAAAAAAGGCTACCACACCACGTTCTATGAGTTGCTCCTCGAAGTCAAGTCGCAACTGTATTAACGGTGTTAAGAAAAAGGAAACAAACTTGCAAGACGTTTTCGTCTTGCGAAGCAAGCCCATAGGGAAATTCGTCTTGCGAAGCAGCTCAAAAACCGCAAAACCCTTTCGTCTAGCGAGTTTTTCGTCTTGCGAGGCAATAGTCTTGCGGGGCACCACTGTACAAAGAGTCACCAAGAATATTCTCTTGTTGCACTTATTACATGTACAGAGCCACTCGCCTTCAGTGCCGGATTTACGTACAGTGGACGCTCGGGTTGCGAACGTGATCCGTGCGGGAGGCGCATTTGCAACCTGCAACGTCCGCAACCTGCAGCGCCGCATCTGAGCACGAGCGGGTTGCGATTTAGTGCTTCTGCGCATGCGTGAGCGCCGAAACCCGGAAGTAACCCATTCCGGTACTTCCGGGTTTTGGTGTGTCCTTAACCCAAATTGCGCAACCTGAAGCGTCTGTAACCTGAATCATGCCTATATAACCAAAACAAGCTATAGCTTAGGGCCCCACTCTCTTGGGGGTCCGAAAAAATTTAAAGGAAAAAAACCCTGGATGTACATTTCCAAAATAGAAGATAAAAAACAAATAAAATAAAATTACTTTGATAAAATACATATTTTGTTATGTGCAAATGCCTTTAGATACCTATTAGGTCCATAAATTACGATATAGTATGTTCAACACAAAAAACAGCGGCAATTTGTTGTTGACAGAGGATAGCTGGACATTATAAAGGGCCCCATTACCTTCAGTAGCTTAAAGGTAAAGGGACCCCTGACCAATAGGTCCAGTCGTGGCCGACTCTGGGGTTGCGGCGCTCATCTCGCTTTATTGGCTGAGGGAGCCGGCGTACAGCTTCTGGGTCATGTGGCCAGAGCAGTGCACGAACCAGAGCAGTGCACGGAAACACCGTTTACCTTCCCGCCGGAGCGGTACCTATTTATCTACTTACACTTTGATGTGCTTTCGGACTGCTAGGTGGGCAGGAGCAGGGACCGAGCAACGGGAGCTCACCCCGTCGCGGGGATTCGAACCGCCGACCTTCTGATCAGCAAGTCCTAGGCTCTGTGGTTTAACCCACAGCGCCACCCGCGTCCCACTCAGTAGCTTAGGGCCTCATCAAATGTAAACCCAGCCCTGCTCTCCCCAACACCTGGAGAACTAAAAATTCCCTTCAGGTGACTAGACATTGAAACATTGCCCATAATGGCACATGCGGGCAAGCAGGCTAGGGACTTGGGTGGACTTATTTACAAGCCTTGCAATAAAGAGATGCTTCAGCTCTTGTAAATTATATTTTAGGATTCCTGTCACAAGAGATTACCTAGTCGTTATTTAACACTCACTGCCCCCCCCAAAAAACTCACACATACTTTGCCACACAATAAGCTGGCATACATGACAGAATGAAGAAAAATGAATAACCAAAGAAGACAATTGGTGATATTCCTGTTTGTGGTTATATTACATTTAATTAGTGAAGACTATTTACTTTAAAAGCTTCATTTTGAATTCTTATGACCAGAGGGGAGATTTTCCTGCAGTGCTATAATGCACTGATCTGTGGCACTACGATATAAAACCAGCCTAATTAAATAAGAACAAAATTTATTTTGCTTATTTGTAAAAAGAAAGAAAGAAAGAATACTCCAGGCATAAGCGGTTTTATGAGTCTTCTACAATCACACTCTGATAGGGAAAAAGCAGGTATGGTTGATGAAGCTTACGGAACCAGAGGCAACAGATGGTCAGAACCAGCACCGCACCCAACCATGTTCAACTTTCCCAATTTCATTGAGCTCCTGAGAATAACAGAATCATAGAACTGTAGAGTTGGAAGGGACCCTGAGGATCATCTAGTCCAACCCCCTGAAATGCAGGAATATGCATCTATCCCATACAGGGATCGAACCTGCAACCTTGGCGTTCTCAGCACCAGGCTCTAATCAACTGAGGAAGACACCCAGGTACAAATTCAACAGGGCTTTGTTTGTTTTGTTGCTACAATGGTGCCTCGCAAGACGAAATTAATCCGTTCCGCGAGTCTCTTCGTCTTGCGGTTTTTTCGTCTTGCGAAGCACGGCTATTAGCAGCTTAGCGGCTATTAGCGGCTTAGCGGCTATTAACAGCTTAGCGGCTTTTAACGGCTTAGCGGCTTTAAGTAAAAGGAAACAAACTCGCAAGAACTCACAAGACGTTTCGTCTTGCGAAGCAAGCCCATAGGGAAATTCATCTTGCGGAACGCATCAAAAAACGGAAAACTCTTTCGTCTAGCGAGTTTTTCGTCTTGCGAGGCATTCGTCTTGCGGGGCACCACTGTATTATGTTAAAGTTGTTTTATAGATATGAATGCTGTCGTGCTTTGTGAATCTTACACTATGATTTTTGGTGTAACTGTGATGTTTAGCTTCTTTTTTAGTTGTTTTGTTAATAGTGTTACATAGATGGTAATTCTTTTATTTGTGATTTGTGAACGTTCTACTGATGATGTGTTCAGTATTCTATACAATTTATGCTGTATTCGTGATGTTCCATTATGTTATTTTTATCTTTTGTTTGTAAGCTGCTTTGGGATTTATTTGAATAAGAAGCAGCATAGAAATAGAATAATAATAATTATTATTATCTGTATTCGGTATATCTGAAGGAGCGTCTCCACCCCCATCGTTCTACCCGGACACTGAGGTCCAGCTCCGAGGGCCTTCTGGCGGTTCCCTCGTTGCAAGAAACCAAGTTACAGGGAACCAGGCAAAGGGCCTTCTCGGTGGTGGCACCCGCCCTGTGGAACGCCCTCCCATCAGATGTCAAAGAGAAGAACAACTACCAGACTTTTAGAAGACATCTGAAGGCAGCCCTGTTTAGGGAAGCTTTTCATGTTTGATGTATTATAGTATTTTAATATTTTTTTTTGGAAGCCGCCCAGAGTGGCTGGGGAAGCCCAGCCAGACGGGCGGGGTATAAATAATTAATAATAATAATAATAACAGCAACAACAACAACAACCACCTCAGCCAGACATAAAGCAAAGTGAGCAGAGCTAGTTCCTCAATCTGTCTTTCCCAGAGCTAGGTTTGGGGAATTTTTTCAACATAGTTTCAGTTTAATATAGTGCAAACATGCAATTCTGGGTTAAGCAGAGCTAATCATGGATTTTTAACAGTGCTTTCGGAACCTAGTTAGCTGCCCAGATTTGACGGCTGTTAAGATACCTGGGCAAACCTTGTAAATGCGATTCGTATTCTGCAATTTGTCATGTTTAGGATGGGCAACACATGTGAATGACCAAGAAGGTGAGTGAGGTTGAGTGAGGCCCAAGGTCACCCAGCAGCTGAATGTGGAGGAGCAGGGAATTGAACCCGGTTCACCAGATTACGAGTCCACTGCTCTTAACCACTACACCACACAGCAAGAGCAGTGAGCCAAACGATGGCCAGAAGGGTGGGGACAGGGCCGTCTTAAGCATATCTGGCGCTGTGGTTGTGGGACAGGAAGGGAAAGGAGATTGTTAGCCGCTTTGAGACTCCTTAGGGTAGTGATAAAGTGGGATATCAAATCCAAACTCCTCTTCTGTGGGATGGTAAAGGGAAATGGCAAAGTCTTGTTTCTTCAGAGCTGTTCCTTTCCCGTATTTAGCCAGCAACAATGACTTCATGGGACGCGGGTGGCGCTGTGGGTTAAACCACAGAGCCTAGGGCTTCCCGATCAGAAGGTTGGTGGTTCAAATCCACGCGACGGGGTAAGCTCCCGTTGCTCGGTCCCTGCTCCTGCCAACCTAGCAGTTCGAAAGCACGTCAAAGTGCAAGTAGATAAATAGGTACCACTCCGGTGGGAAGGTAAACGGTGTTTCCGTGCGCTGCTCTGGTTCGCCAGAAGCGGCTTAGTCATGCTGGCCACATGACCCGGAAGCTGTACGCTGACTCCCTCGGCCAGTAAAGCGAGATGAGCACCGCAAGCCCAGAGTCGGCCACGACTGGACCTAATGGTCAGGGGTCCCTTTACCTTAATGACTTCAAACTCCACACCTGCCAACATTCTTGCTGGCGAAGCAAAAGGAGGTCAGGGATGGCCTCCAATTACCCCAGGATTGGCTTGATGGGGCAGCAGTGGGTACTGCAACCCGGGTGTTTTGTCTCCTTCACTGGAAGTTTTTAATAGTTATTTTCCTATTTAGTTGTCAATGTTTGTACAGATGGTGCGCTCTCTCTCTCTCTCACGCACACACACAAAATTACTGAGTTTTGTTCACAGTCTTTCAGGTAAGAAGTCCCGCAAAGATCTGTGGAACAGACAGCATCATGGAAAGTTGCATATCACAGGCTCTAGTCTAGGACTGTCCAGACACATTGAACTTACAAACAGCAACATGGAGGATACAGGCTGCCTAAGAAACAGCTGCCTTCAGCAGCAGAAGCAAAGGGCTATCAGTAAGAACGGACAGTGCTGGAGAACCATAAGGGACACAGGAATAACTTACGGCCCAAGAGCCTAGCAATAATGCAACCATTCAAAACTAAAACCCAGGGTTTTAACGGCCAACGAACAAATCTAAAATACGGAACCCAGTTAGAATGATGCTCCCCTTTGTCTCCCTCTCGCTCTAAAAGGAGGTTGTGGTGTCAATCAGAGTGACCCACCTGTTGAAGACCAACAATATAGCTATTGCAGACTTGTGCAAAACGGGGAAAGGCAAGTTCAAATCCCACCTCTGACAGTGCGCAACCTTGAATATCTCTGTATCTCTTAGTCCATCCTATCCCTCAGGGTTGATATTATTCTGCAACCCTTGGGCTACAGTGGGGATGGGGAATCTGCGCCCCCCCCCCAGATATCCTTCGACTACATCTTTCATCAGCCCTTGGCAGCATCTTGGGAGCTGTAGTCCAGCAACATTTAGAGGACCAAATCACCATCCCTGGGTGATTCGTTTTCTCAGAAGCAGGTAGAAGGGAAAAGAATCTGGGTACCGTTGCTCGGTCCCTGCTCCTGCCAACCTAGCAGTTCGAAAGCACGCCAGTGCAAGTAGATAAATAGGTACCACTCCGGTGGGAAGGTAAACGGTGTTTCCGTGCGCTGCTCTGGTTCGCCAGAAGCGGCTTAGTCATGCTGGCCACATGACCCGGAAGCTGTACGCTGGCTCTCTCGGCCTATAGAGCGAGATGAGCGCCGCAACCCCAGAGTCGGTCACGACTGGACCAATGGTCAGGGGTCCCTTTACCTTTACTCATTCACCACTGACAATTTTAAACCTGGGTTTGTCTAGCACCTGGGGTGCCGAAAAGAGCACAAAGAATGTAACAGGCTCTCTCCACAAAACAGGTTACCACTTTTCTTAACATAAACCTTGTAAGTAGCCACAAACCTATACAGGTCTGCAAAGTGGAAGGGCCTTGCATAGTCGTCCCCCCCCCCCCCCCCGGTTATCAGTGTGCCATTAATTCCTAATCTAAGTAATATACTGGGAAATGAGGCTAGTGCGTTTTTTGTGGAAAACTTTCCCCACAAAACTCTCCACAGCATCAATCTCTCCATGCCCCACTCCCAGCGCAAATATTTTCTCCATACCTGTGGTTCTTTTCTTTAAAAGAAAAACTGATTAAATACAAATCCCAGTTAGCTCCCCTTTCTCTATCCAATTTCTCCATGCCAGGCTCAGTTGTATAAACTTCTATCGTGTTGCCTCTTACTCGTCTTTTCTCTAAAACTAGAAAGTCCCCAAAAAGTCCCTTTCTGCCCTTCATCATTTTGCTGGCCTTTTCCCCTGAAACTTTTCCAGCTCCTTTTTGAGATGAGGCGACCAGAACTGTATATAGTTTCGTATAATGGCATTAGGATATTGGCAATTTTATTTCTGATTCCTTTCCCTAACAATCCCCAGAATGGAATTTTCCCTTTTCACAGCTGCCACATCCTGGGCTGACGTCTTCATCAATTTATACAAATTATGCGAACAATCTTGCACAAAGATGTGATGTGGGCTTCTGTTCTACTGCATCCCGTGTCTTGTAGTAGCCATGAGCAGATCTGAAGCATCTGCTTCTAATGTTAAACTAACCACAATCCCATATTATTTTACATTTGAACTCTGGGAACTGTAGTTCGTTTAAGCCAGAAGTGGCCCAACTGCCCCCCTTGGCCTAATCTCATGGGTGGGGGGGGGTGAGATAGAAGAGGGATGACTAAATTGAGAGAGGAAAAGGTTTAGGTTACAGTGGTGAGATTGCTATATGCACCAAAGATGGAAGAACCCTACCACACTATAGAAGAATGGCGGTTAAAACTATTGGAATTGGCTGAAATGGGAAAGTTAACATGTTTGATTGAGAGAAAAATCATTACGGACATTTGTTAAGGATTGGAATTTTCTTATGGACTTTTTGTCTGGAAGAGAAAATGAACTTGTAATATCTGGATTTGAAGATTGAAAAAAGACTGGTTTATAGAAGATAGAATGGTTCAGTGTTAGAAACTGAGATAGGAAAATTGGAAGCTAAATGGCACCTTAAACCGAGGTTATGGGCACAGCAACGGAATGTCTAGGCACGCTTTTTTATAAGAATACAAAGCTGAAAATGAATAAACTGCAGCTAAAATGTTATGTTCATTTTTCACATGGCCCAGTCCTTCTCCTGCCCACCCCCTTAATATTCTTAAGAGGGTCTCTTCTCCAGTCTTCAGAGTGGCTGGAAGTGGGGAGGCAGAAAAAGATTGTCCTTTCCTTCCACTCTGCAGTTTTAATCTGAAATCTTCGGCGCAGTACTGCGCCCGGAGCTCAGAAATTGCTCGCCCTAATGAAATGCGCCAAAATGCGCCTAGAACAATGGGAGTTTTGAACACTAGAATTGGTTGGGTCTTAAGGAATGAATATCATATGTGGCTGCAAGACAGAGAGCCAGAAGTCCTTTAATTTTCTTCTTTATCCTTCTTTAGTTTTTTCTTTCTTTTCCTTTTCTCTTGCTTTCTGTTTCCTTAGGATTCTCCTCTCCTTGTCTTTTCTTCCTTCTGACTTTGTTCTCTTTTAGACTAAGCAGCTGCTTTATCTCTGTATATCGTGCAAATATACTTTGTAATGGGGGGTGTTTTTGTATATCTTTGAATAAGCATCAATAAATTTATTTATTTGTTAAGAGAAAGGAAGTGGGGTGCGCAATCACTTTTGGCTCCAAAGCCCCCAAACAAAATTACCCCAGGGGAATGTGGCGCTTGACAAAAAACTATTTCCCACTGCTGGTTTCAATTATAGCCCGTGAGGAAAATTAACCATGGATTTATCCTCATTTGTTTGAACAAACCAGTTTGAACTAACCAGAGTTCCTCTACGTTTAGACATAGCAGGGAACTCCAGTAAGCTTAGGGTTGTGTCTGAAAAGTCCCCAAGACAACAGTGGCCATAAATATGATGCAGATCAAACCCTCACTGCAACACAACGTGCAAGAACCGAAAATTAAATTGAATTAAGAATAGAACTTTAGCCACAAGCAAGCATTTAAGTTTCCATAGCTGGACAAGCATTTCCTTAAAAACAAAGTCAAAGTTGATTAAAAACAGTTGTAAGCTAGTTCCAGAGTTCTAGGAACCCCTACCAACCTGACATTTCTTAAACTGGGTTTCAGTTTCAGAGTCATTAATTCCACTTCTCAGCTATTTACAATCTTCAGTGCTGGAAGTCAACACAGCAACCTGTCATTTGATCCTCCTTCTCATGTCTTTAATTTTTCTTTTCAGCCTCCTGCAATCTTGAACCAAAGCTTTTAAAACTTCTTATCCACTGTGCAAGCTCTGTATCTTGGGCTCGAGTTCAATTTTTTACTAAAAAATTAAAAAACAAACAAAAAATACAGTAAGACAACATTAAGGGTCTGACAACTGCAAAAGCCAGCAAGTTCAAACTTAAAAAGTTCTCACTGAATCTACTTTCCAACTGCAAATGAGCAGAACAGGAAGACAAATTAAGTGCTGGTGGAAAACATGGCATTGTTTAGACCAGGCATAGGCAAACTGCGGCCCTCCAGATGTTTGGGACTACAATTCCTATCATCCCTAGCTAACAGGACCAGTGGTCAGGGATGATGGGAATTGTAGTCCCAAACATCTCGAGGGCTGGAATTTGCCTATGCCTGGTTTAGCCCCTGCTGCTTTAGGCTAAGTTAACACCTATCCATAGAGTGAGCTAATTCCCCCCCCCCAAAAAATACCCCTGAATTTTTGAATTGTATTGATATTGATGCTGCATTTTATGTTGTATTTTATGCTGTTTTTAAGTCGCATTTTAATCAATGTTTTATATTTGCTGTTAGCCTCCCTGAGCCCGGTTTTTAAACTGGGAAGGGCGGGATATAAATAAAAATTTGTTGTTATTATTATTATTAAACACAAAAGTTAGAAACAGCAACAACACACACACTTTTTCGTGTTGGTTGAAGATTGTGGCCACTGCACTTGAGCCTACCTTCTAGAAGGAAAGCAGAAAGGAAAATAGTTCAAGGCAAGAACCGCTGAATGGCCCACGCTCACCGAGAGGAGCAAACTGTGACTGACAGCAGAGGGTGACATTAGCTTATGTTATCATCTGAAAAGCAATTTCTTTGCAAGGTCTGTAGAACACATTTGGGAGGGGCAACAGCGATGTTTAAAAATGATGTAGCGTGTGCATGTGTGTACGTTTATTAATATATACAACTCAAGAGTACTTGCAGGGGCTGGGTAGCGATTTCATAAATGCACTAAAACGTGCTGTACGAACTGGGAGGCACGTGAAGTCACAGCACATGACCTTCGTAAGTTTACTGCAGCTGTAGGAACTAAAGATCCAGTGAGAAGGCTTAACTTTGAATTTCCTGTACATAGGGAATGACGTTAAACCAGGCAAACTCCGGCCCTCCAGATGTTTGGGACTACAATTCCCATCATCCCTGACCACTGGTCCGGTTAGCTAGGGGTGATGGGAACTGTAGTCCCAAACATCTGCAGGGCCGGAGTTTGCCTATGCCTGAGTTAAACCCTTAATGTCTTCCAAATGTATTTTTAATTATGTATCTAACAATGCAATTATTAAACCGCCGTTAGTCTACCGACCACTGATGAAGCAGGCCACTAGCATAACCCTACCATGCATGTGTATATGATCCAAGGGTAATATTTAACCACTCTCACATTCTTTTGCAGTGTTTAGGGCACTGTCAGCCCATTCAAGATATTCTGCAAACTGTCCTACTGTTAACCATTTAACCGATTTAAAAAACTTTTCTTGATATGTGATATTTAGTAAAAATCAAGGACAAGAACAATAGTTCACCAATATTCAGGGCTGGCCCGAAACATTTTGGCACCCGAGATAAACCACAAAATTGTGTCCCCCTTCCCCCCTGCCAGGGAATTAAGGGTGAGTGGAATTACAATAAATTTCGGGGGCTCGTAACAACGATTTTATTTTCTGATTCAGAAAAAGATAAATCAACAAATTCCTGAAGCAAAACCTCTTCACAACAAAATTCCCACCACACCTTGATCTGACGATAGCACCCCTTATGCCCTGCTATTGCTTAGTTTTAATGCAGCACATTGGATGGTTTTATTATATTTTATTATATTCTGATTACATTCTGAACAGTGCATTGAAGGCATAATAGCAAGGCTCTTTAGCAAATGTTTTAGGCGCTATTCTAAATATTAAAACTTTGAATACTGAAAATCATATGCTTTTTTTTAAAAAAAGTAGTTTTCTCTAAATAATAGCACAAATCCAGAGGGAGATAGGCTGCAATCCTACTACATTTCAACCACGGTATCCTACCACCTAGGAGGGTTGGGAATTGGACTTCCGCTCCTTCCTCTTGAGCCATGTCCAGAAAGTGGTAATGGCAGGTTGGTGTTTGCACCCCTGTATGCTCAGGGCTCCGTCCTCTCCCCCATGCTTTTTAATATCTATATGAAACTGCTGGGAGAGATCATCAGGGGCGTTGGGATGGGTGTCCACTAATATGCGGATGATACCCAGCTCCAGCTCTGGTTTTAATCGGAACCAGTGAAGGCAGTGAGTGTCTGGAGATGGTTGGAGGGTGGTCAATGTATTGAGGTTGAATCCCAACAATACAGAATTACTGTTTCTGGGAGAAAGGGGGCGGGCAGGTCTGAGGGACTCCCTGGTCCTGAAAGGGGCAACTGTGCCCCTAAAGAACCAGGTGCACAGCCTTGGGGTCATTTTGGACTCACAGCTGTCCATGGAGGTGCAGGTCAACTCTGTATCCAGGCTGGCAGTCTACAAGCTCCTTCTGGTACATTGGCTGAGACCCTACCTGCTTGCACGCTGTTTCGCCAGAGTGATACAAGCTCTGGTTATCTTCTGCTTTGACTACTGCAATGCGCTTTATGTGGTGCTACCTTTGAAGGTGACTCGGAAACTACCACTAATCCAGAATGTGGCAGCTGCCACACTGGTGACTGGGAGCAGCCACTGGGACCGTATAACACAGTTTCTGAAAGATCTACTTTGGCTGCCGGTATGTTTCCGAGCACAATTCAAAGTGTTGGTACTAACCTTTAAAGCCCTAAATGGCCTTGACTCTGTATACCTGAAGAAGCATCTACAGCCCATTGTTCAGCCTAGACCCTGAGGTCCAGCGCTGAGGGCCTCCTGACAGTTCCCTCACTGTGAGAAGTGGGAACCAGGCAGAGGGCCTTCTCAGTAGTAGCACCCGCTGTGTGAAATATGCAAGCTTATCTGAGTAAATATGAATAGGATTATATGGTTATATTAAGTTCCACTGAAATTAATGGGGCACAAATTAGTTGCAACTAACTGGGCCTATTGCTTTGGGTAACTTTCTCTGGATTTGGCCAATATCATTTCAACCCATGTCTGAATGGAATGAAATGCACAATTTAGAGTTAAATTTAAAATTGATTTGTACGCCACTTCTCCACAGACCACTATAATTACATAGCTCACTGCATCCCTCAGCAAATCCATGATTTGTAGGCCCAACATTTGACCTACCTTTCATTTTCTAACATCTGTTTGCAAAGTCCAAAGAATTTTTTTCTTTTTTCCTCAAAACAAATGCTTGAATTCTCCTTTTTCTGAAAAATATATAAATACCAAAAAAGCACAACACTTATGAGTAACCCTATAAATTACAAACCAGCAAGTGTGTGAAATGAAGGGTAACATAACAGAACGGAGTCCCATGTTTTCACGTCTATAGAAGTTATCGTGCACAAATGTCTTAGGATTCTTAATCTTCATAATCTTCCTTGTGGGCACTGCCTTTTTCAGAGGCTAGATTTTAGTTTACTTTTGCTTTAACATGCAACGAACTATGGGTTTTTTTGTTTTGAAATTAACATGCATTATGCAAACATTTAAAAACAAATATTTTTTAGAGATGGCATTGCTGGCACACAACATATGCTAGACACTTAGAAAAGTCTTGCACTCCTACTTGTGATATGTTCCCTGTGATCTCTTAATTTCATCCCACTAGGCTACCAATTCTTCCAAGCACCTGAAGGTTGCAAATCATTTATCGCTGACTGCTTATATGTCTGGGTGCTTTAAAAACAATGATAACCTGGGTGAATCTCTTATTCCAAGTACCGTATTTTTTGCTCTATAAGACTCACTTTTTCCCTCCTAAAAAGTAAGGGGAAATGTGTGTGCGCCTTATGGAGCGAATGCAGGCTGCGCAGCTATCCCAGAAGCCAGAACAGCAAGAGGGATTGCTGCTTTCACTGCGCAGCGATCCCTCTTGCTGTTCTGGCTTCTGAGATTCAGAATATTTTTTTTCTTGTTTTCCTCCTCCAAAAACGAGGTGCGTCTTATGGTCTGGTGCGTCGTATAGAGCGAAAAATACGGTGGTTATTTAAAGCGCTCCAGATGTTAGCTTGCTCTTTTGCAAAACTCCACAAAATGTAGGAAAACAGCTAAAGGACAAGATACTTGTTGTTACAGAGCCTAGGTACTTGATGGTTTTGCCCCAACACTGACCCTGTCATTGTGTTCATGTCAGCAGCAAGCAAGCAGAGCAAGAGGCGCAGTTGACACCTGTCTTGTGAGTGTCTCTCTTGCAAGTTGCCTGCAAAGGCACTTTGATGACTGGATGAAGCAGACATCTGGGAGTGCCCCTGGATTAGCATGTGCAAATGCATTCTAAGTACGTCTGCATAGGATCCAATGTAATTCTCTGCCTGGTGGCTCATATCTGTATATAAGAAACATCATGCACTTCAGGGGATTCGACTTCATGAGCCCTGGAAGCAACTCCCAACTCTACAAGTTTATGGCTCTATCTCATGGGTAGGTAACCTAAGGCCCGGGGGCCGGATCTGGCCCAATCACCTTCTCAATCCGGCCCACGGACGGTCCGGGAATCAGCGTGTTTTTACATGAGTAGAATGTGTGCTTTTATTTAAAATGCATCTTTGGGTTATTTGTGGGGCACAGGAGTTCGTTCATTCCCCACCCCCCAAAAAAAAATATAGTCCGGCCCCCCACAAGGTCTGAGGGACAGTGGACTGGCCCCCTGCTGAAAAAGTTTGCTGATCCCTGCTCTATCTGCTTTCAGGATTTAAAACGAAACATTGAGAGGGTAGCACAGAGCAGAGACGGCCAACTGAATGCCCATAGCTGCCAGGTTGGTGGCCCTTGTGTTGTTGTTTTTTGGAACTAGAAGTCGCTTCCGTCACACTTTTCTGAATTTGTGGGTGGTCAGTGGGTGGGTACATGACTGTGTGTGCATGACTGAGAGGGATTCGCTTGGGCAGAGAGAGGGGGAGGGGGTTGTGCAGTTTGTCACTATGCAAAGTGTGAAAGTGTGTAAGTGTGAGAGAGAAATTGTGTGTCTGGGTTTGTGTGTGTGTGTGTGTTTTCCCCCCGGAACTGGAGAATGTTCCATTATTTGAAAGCAAAAGAGTGTGAGAGTGTGTGTGTGTGTGTGTGTGTGTGTGTGTGTATAAAAGCAATATTGTGTGGTGTACACAAATCAGGACTAGTAGGACACAGACTACTTCCCACGACAAGCATGAGGTAGTTCAATGACCGTAAAAAGGGAAAGGTAAAGGACCCGTGACAGTTAAGTCCAGTCGCAAACAACTCTGGGGTTGCGGCGCTCGTCTCGCTTTACTGGCCGAGGGAGCCGGCGTTTGTCCGCAGACAGTTTTTCCGGGTCATGGCGAAACCAGAGCAGCGCACGGAAACGCCGTTTACCTTCGCGCCGGAGCAGTACCTATTTATCTACTTGCACTTTGACATGCTTTCGAACTGCTAGGTTGGCAGGAGCTGGGACCGAGCAACGGGAGCTCACCCCGTCGCGGGGATTCGAACCGCCGACCTTCCGATCGGCAAGCCATGAGCTCAGTGGTTTAGACCACAGTGCCCCCTGAGTCAATGACTGTACTCTTTTCTAATTTAGTTATGCCATGCCCCGCATTTGTGACTGGCACCCAAAGCATTCTCAAAATTCACAATGTGCCCACCGGTCCAAAAAAAGTTTGCGACTCCCGACACAGAGATGCACAACACACAATACCATGCAGAAGAACACTCCTGTAAGGTTTCTTCTGCCATCCCACTAAAATATGGAAAACACTACAAAGGCATTTATCACTGCAAGTAAGGAGAAATCATGGTCTTACTGATCCTTTGAAAGCTCACCTGAGATCTCCAATCTACTTGCACAGATTTTTGAATAAAAGACTGAAAAGCACGAGTATAATTTTACTTACATTTATGTTTTGGCTAACATACGGCCACATGAAAGCAGGGTCTCTTCAAGGATATTCCAAATTCTTTCCCAAAATTTTCAGATAAATAGCACAAAGGAACCAAGAAGATAAATAAAAGGAAGCAAAGGTTTCCCCTCTACTGCCAACAAAATAAGGGGGCAAGACCTTCATACACCCGTACCCATCAATCACAACACTCTTTTTGTTTCTGTTGGCATCATTTCCTAAAAACCGGCGCTTGTCCTATCACCTCAGAACAAGTTCGAACACACCTTGAAGAGAGGGTTGTTGTTGTTTTTTAAAAAAATGAATAACTTTAAACATATTGAACTCTTTGTTTTCACTGTGAGGAATAATGGCATCCACCAACTATTAAGACAGGGGGATTAAGTCCCCACCTGCTCAACGCTTTTCCCGTCAATCAGCTGATTTGAATAATTACGGCTACACTGCAATGCCTGAAACGGTTTCAGACATGCAAACTGGTTCTAGAGCTGCACAGTTCGATGGGTTTCTACATCCATGACTTGAGCAGAAATTCTAGGGAGCAGTAGAATGGCATATTGAAGGATCATATTATTATTACACAGGCCAATCCTAGCTTGTTTTACAAAAAAAACCCCAACAAATAAAAACAAGCCGAAGGCTTTCTGGGAGATGATATATAATGAACTAAAAAAGGTATTTAAATATACCTTCTTGAAGAAACCAGAGGCCTTTCTCCTGGGCATAGTCGGCCAATCGGTGTTAAAAAAGGACAGAACTTTCTTTATGTATGCCACAACAGCAGCAAGAATACTCATTGCAAAGCATTGGAAGACACAAGATCTACCCACACTGGAGGAATAGCAGATGAAACTGATGGACTACATGGAATTGGCGGAAATGACTGGCAGAATCCGAGACCAGGGAGAAGAGTCGGTGGAAGAAGATTGGAAGAAATTTAAAGACTACTTACAGAAATATTGTAAAATTAATGAATGTTAGAATGATGTTGGATTGAAGTTAAGTGGTTTCTAGCTGTATAGGTACAAAAGAATATGGAAAAAATTGGTTTTTAATATGTAAAAATCTAACGTTACAATATATCAGGACTAAGGATTAGGATTAAAAAGGAGGGAAAGGAATTGTTGGATTAACAAATTTAATTGGAATACAAAAGAGGGAGGTATGAGGAGGTCCGGGAAACAAGTAAATGTAAAAGAAGTGAGGAAAAGATGGAATTGTTTTTAACTGTTTTTTCTTTTTTTTCTACTTTGTATTTTTCCTTTTTATTGTTAATTTTTTTTATTAATGTGATTTTTTTTCTTTGAAACTTTAATAAACATTATTTTAAAAAAAAACAACAAAAAAAGCCGAGTACTTCATCCGCGTTTTCCCAAAATCAAAACCGTTCTGCACTTCTGATTTTCAGCGGCACATTCGGAAGCCACCTCAGAGCTAATTCATCTGATCTGAGGGAGACAAACTTTCCTTTTCTTGAGACATCAACTTCTGAAGGTTTTCTCTGTAGTAAAGCTTTTGCTGTGATTCATCTCCCCCTTAGCTAAACTTGCTATTTGTGGCAGAACAGATAAAAAGAAAAATGTTGCGTTTAAAATCATCTAGTATCCCCCCCACCATTATTCCCTGATGCCATCTGAGCCTATTAAAATCACTTACAGCCCAGCTTTCCGAAGCTTTCTGTGATTGAGTGCTAGAGGTTATTCTTGTGAAACTGGGCCCTGCAATTCTGCGAATCAAAGGAAGTGGGGTAGAAATGGCAACCATGTACGAAATGGAAACGCACTAGAATTTACTATGTAACAGCCTTTGTAAGCATAAAGGTAAAGGGACCCCTGGGGTTGCGGCGCTCATCTCGCTTTATTGGCTGAGGGAGCCGGAGTACAGCTTCCGGGTCATGTGGCCAGCTTGACTAAGCCACTTCTGGCGAACCAGAGCAGCGCACAGAAACACCGTTTACCTTCCCGCCGGAGCGGTACCTATTTATCTACTTGCACTTTGACGTGCTTTCAAACTGTTAGGTTGGCAGGAGCAGGGACCGAGCAACGGGAGCTCACCCCGTCGCGGGGATTCAAACTGCCGACCTTCTGATTGGCAAGTCCCAGGCTCTGTGGTTTAACCCACAGCGCCACCCGCGTCCCACTTTGTATGCATTTGTAAGCATAGTGCCCTCCAAATGTTTTGGACTGTAATTCCCATATACCCCCATCAACCACAGCCAAGGGTCAGGGTTGATGGGAGCCCAGGATGGCACCAGGTTGACGGAGGCTGCTGTCGAATGCGCCATCTAATCGCTGTTCGAAATTAGCCAGGCGCCAGGCGCATTTTGCACCTGGCTATCAGCCTTTTGCAGCCAAGTGATGATGCCTGGGCGCCAGGATGAAGTTCAGGAACCAAAATGCTTTTTCTGGGCTGTCTGGGCAGGAGCGGTGAACAACGTTCTAGTTAACTGCAACAACGTTCTAGTTAACTGCTGTCTCTTCTCTTCACTTACCCCACCCCACTGCCCTGCTAACAGTTATGAAGAATATTCTTACATTATGAATGGTTCATGTCGCCATTAAGAAAAAGAGGTCAGAATAATAGTCAATATGTATGTGGGCTGTCCCTGGATTAAGTGACTTTTCTTCTTTAAGTTCTCCAAGTTCTTAGCTTAGCTCAAAGTTGTCATCTAAACTAGCCAGATGTTTAACTCATAATCTATCTAAACTAAATCCGTAAATCCATTAAGAGCGGGCATCAGAAAAGACATTATTTGGATCCATTCTGCTGTATGGGCTCATGACCCTTTATTAAATCCACAATTCATCTCTTCAACCAAGCTCTATCAAACATGCTGCATTAATGCTTGCTTTGCGCACAAGGGGGGGGGGGAAACGCGGGGGGGGGATATTTCTCCAAGCAATCGCATTTCATATTGAAGGACGGCTTTTACCTAGTAATTACCAGCCTCCCTCTGGGGAAGTTACGGGCATTCAATGCACTATCCAACGCATTTAACTGTGCTATGTTCTGGCTCTTCAAGTCAGTGATCTAGCTTGATGTCCTTGTATGTTCAAAGAAAAGCAGACAGAAAACTTTCCATTTCACACCTCCTTCCTTTCTCTACATCACATATAACTGTGCATTACACAAGGTATGCCGCAGACCAGAGATTTTGCATTATGCTTCTAGACGGAATTAAATAACGAATTTAAACCACTTCATGTACAAAAATATATGTATTAATTGCTTGCTACGGCAACGAAAATGGATTAGTTTACACTAGTAAACGAATACATCTTCATTGCCGTAGCAAGCAATTAATACATATTCTTGTATGTACGTGAAATGATTTAAATTCATTATTTAATTCTATTTTCTTATTTAAATAACCTAAGTCATTCTCCTTGATTAAAATCAGCCAACCCTGCATGTATCGCTGACCTATTTACTTTCTGTGCACCATTTATGATTATGTAATCATCCAAACGTATATTCTGTTTCGATGGGAGGGTTTCAAGATCCAAGAACGCTGATCGTTTTGTGCCGCATCTGCTAAGACACTCCAAAGATTTTAATGCATTTAAAATCTAAACTCTAAAGAAACTTGACAGCTTGTGTTCTTATTCAGATACGTCACAGCTGCAAAGAGGTATATTGTCAGGCCATTTTAGACAAAGCTAATTGGAATTCTTTAGGGACGCGGGTGGCGCTGTGGGTTAAACCACAGAGCCTAGGACTTGCCGATCAGAAGGTCAGCGGTTCGAATCCCCGCGATGGGGTGAGCTCCCGTTGCTCGGTCCCTGCTCCTGCCAACCTAGCAGTTCGAAAGCACGTCAAAAGTGCAAGTAGATAAATAGGTACCGCTCCGGCGGGAAGGTAAATGGCGTTTCCGTGTGCTGCTCTGGTTCGCCAGAAGCGGCTTAGTCATGCTGGCCACATGACCCGGAAGCTGTACGCCGGCTCCCTCGGCCAATAAAGCGAGATGAGCACCGCAACCCCAGAGTCGGCCACAACTGGACCTAATGGTTAGGGGTCCCTTTACCTTTACTTTAATTGGAATTCTTTGATCTGCATGAGCCCTGATCAGCAATTTCCCATATGTAAAAGAAGGTGGGGAGGGGCGAGAACGCTGCTGACCACATCCCTACGTCACATGCACTACATTGGCCCTGCCTTTGCACAAACAGCTATGGTTCTATGTGGTCGTGCATCCTCATCTGCACACAATGGACATTTAGAGAAGGTCTGGCTTCTCCATATTCCATTCAGACACCTTCGGTTTGGTGCAGACTTCTAAGCAGACTTCCATAGGCACCTCCCCACTTGCGCCTGATCAATACAAGCACAACTGTTTTCAGCACTGAAATGGGACAGAACAGACTTGCATGCGCCCTGCTGACATGTGCAGTGGTTGGGAACGGAAGCCCCACATAAGCAGAGACACCACCACCCTGCCTTTAACCTTTTGACTGGTAGCCACAGGCAACAAGGAATCCCATGCAAGCGAGTTTGCTGGTGGAAGGGGAGTGGATCTCTTCATTCCACTGGCATCAGTCAACTTGGGTTTTCCATGTTCGCTGCAGAAGAGGGGAAGACTTTCCTCCTCTGCCAGCCTGCTCGGTAGAGTAATAAATAATAATAAGAGCAGCTAACAACAGTAAAATAATACAGCATTCTAAAATCAATTCATTATAAAATCAGTTCAAATCAAATTAATGGCAACCATTGGGCTAGAGTTCTGTGAGGATTACCAAAGGAGGGGGTCAGGCTGTGCCTTGGCCAAAGGCCTGGTGGAACAGCTCTGTCTTGAACGCCCTGCGGAAAGATGTCAAGTCCCGCAGAAGACTTTTGCCTGTTAAGAAGCCGGTATCCTACATTTCCATTCTGGCTGTGGAAATGTGGGCTGCTAACCTCTTAGTAGACGTATAAAAAGAGTGCAACTCTGGTTGCAAAAGTTGTTTATTTACCCATTTACAAGTGAGCTTTAAAGTTATTTTAGTTACTTGCTTCTTGCCAGTTGCGGTGGCTGAAGAGTAGCTTAGCTTGGCATGTGGAGACCTAACCATCAGCCGCTGCATTGCAGAACTGCCTGTTACCTTCATGTAAGAAGCAATCTGACATCTCAAATCAAGCTCCTGATAAAAACCTCTTAATGCTCTGCTATTAATTACAGTACGGTTTCCTTTTGGGAAACTTGGGATCATAAAACTGTAGAGGTGGAAGGGGTCCCAAGGCTCATCTAGTCAACCTCCCCCCCATGCAGGAATTGATTTATATAGCTATGAGAAAGCTTGTCAGGGAATTAATATTTTGCTGCCAAAAAAAAAAAGCCAGCGGAATTTTAACTCGGCTGGCCATAATCTTTCCCCTGAGGACAGAGAGAAAGAGGCTTAACATCTTCAAAGAAAGGCCACAATGGTAGCTGTTTGCTCTAAGGACTTGCTCTGGGTTACTCAACGCTTCTCGGTCTTTTGGCTAAGACCAAATTTAGATATCTCTTGTTTAGCTCAGATCAGCATCCTCGGAATGCTTTCAGATGATCCACAACAGGGATGTCCAACAGGTGGATCGCTATCTACTGGTAGATCCCCACCAGGTTTTGGTAGATCGCGGTCGATCTCTGGCTCCCTTTCCTTAGCGTCGCTAAAACTGACTCCTGCCCTGCTCCCTCACCCTGCCCTCCATTGTTGTATGTTCTCTGGAAGGGAAGATGGAGCTTTCTCTGTGCTGCTGTTTTGATCCATAGCGATCTTTTTTGTGAGTGACTTTACCCCCTTGTCCCTTGCCTTAAATCCGCCCCCTCCCCAAGCTTTTTTTTAACCCCTTAAAAAGGGCCTTTCTCCTCCCTAAATAAAGCTCAGCAACTTAGAGCCGACCCCCCTTTTTAATTCTGAAAGTTAGCCACCCCGATCTACAATGTTGTTGTTTAGTCGTGACCGACTCTTGGTGACCCCATGGACCAGAGCACGCCAGGCACTTCTGTCTTCCACTGCTTCCCGCAGTTTAGTCAAACTCATGCTGGTAGCTTCGAGAACACTGCCCAACCATCTCGTCCTCTGTCGTCCCCTTCTCCTTGTGCCCTCCATCTTTCCCAACATCAGGGTCTTTTCCAGGGAGTCTTCTCTTCTCATGAGATAGCCAAAGTATTGGAGTCTCAGCTTCAGGATCTGTCCTTGCAGTGAGCACTCAGGGCTGATTTCCTTCAGAATGGCGAGGTTTGATCTTCTTGCAGTCCATGGGACTCTCAAGAGTCTCCTCCAGCACCATAATTCAAAAGCATCAATTCTTTGGCAATACTTTATTTAAAAGACGAAGGTGGTAAGATGCTGGTTGTCTGAAGGTTTCTTTTGAGTCTGGCTGTCAGGCAGTGCTACAGGTGTATATTCCAGCACCACTGGCCACCCCAACAATATAGGTATCGCCTAGAGGCCATTAAAGCACCCATCCACTTAGTTCGTCACGAGACTAACTACAGCAAGCATTTCGGAGAACTGGAGCAGCAACAAACCTGACTGTGTCTATCTGCTACTGAGTCCACTTTCCGTTCATTTTGTTCTTTCAGTGTACAGTGGTACCTCGAGTTACAAACACCTTGGGTTACAGACTCCGCTAACCCAGAAATTGTACCTTGGGTTAAGAACTTTACCTCAGGATGAGAACAGAAATCGTGCGGCGGCAGAAGGCCACATTAGCTAAAGTGGTACCTTAGGTTAAGAACGGTTTCAGGTTAAGAACGGACCTCCGGAACGAATTAGTTCATAACCAGAGGTACCACTGTACAGTGAAGCTGCACCAGAATAGAAAGCAGCATATTTGTTCAACAGGCTTTCAGACATTCTCCTGTGTGGGAGTGGGGGAAAATCTGGTGGTTTGCAAAGGATGGACACCAGAAAAGTGATTCTCGGTAGAACAAAGTTTAGGAATAATTTAGCTATACAGTGGTACTTCAGGTTACATATGCTTCAGGTTACACACTCCACTAACCCAGAAATAGTACCTCGTGTTAAGAACTTTGCTTCAGGATGAGAACAGAAATCGTGCTCTGGCGGCGCGGTGGCAGCAGGAGGCCCCATTAGCTAAAGTAGTGCTTCAGGTTAAGAACAGTTTCAGGTTAAGAACGGACCTCTGGAACAAATTAAGTACTTAACCCGAGGTACCACTGTAGTTTAAATGTTATTTGTGTTAAGACATTATTAAATTTCCCCAACTATGCACAGAACTAGGCATTTTTACTCCTAAGTCCACCTGTGTTCCATTTATTTTATATATTAAATTTATATACCACCCTTTATATATAACCAGGGGATCCTGCACCTTACAGAACACAGCCCCAATAACGAACGCACAGAGGTCTACTACACATTTTGCCAGTATCAAGCTCTGCCTGAGACCTTTTAGAGGTGTTGCCAGGCAGAACAGACATCCCTAGGCTAGCTGGGCCAAAATCTGACTCAGTACATGGGCCATCCTCTATCCTGCTATACTTTTCAGGCAGGCTCTGAATCAACATCACTGATAACTACTGCAGCACTGACTACTTTTGCCCTCCCAATATGCATAGGTTCCTTTGAATTCACAGCGTTCACACACACAAAAAGAAGTTCTTATCTATTAAGACTATGAGAAGAATGTTTAATAATGCAGCAACTTCAGGGCTGAGGTGATTCTCCACCCCACAGTATAACTTCAGTGTAACTTGGGTACGACACCTATGTATTTCCAACCTAGCAGGGGGTTGGGCTAGATGACCCCTGGGGGTCCCTTCCAACTCTACAACTCTATGATCAGCCTCAGAGCCATCAAAAACATTGATTGTAAAAGGAAGAAGCAATTTTGGGCTCTTCCGGCAAAGGAGGAAAAAAAACCCCGGCCTTCTCATCTCTCACGCATACTTTAGAAAGTTCAAACTGACTGTTACAACCATGTAATACATCATTCATATCTTTGTCTGGGCTAATTACCAATTGCCCCAGGCTACAAAGATATGGGGAAAGGTGACATCATCGTTGTTGTTTTGCGTTTCTTTAGCTGGGGAATAACATGCACCGATAGCCATCTTCAAATATCCAAAAGGGCTGTCACATGGAACAAGCTGGTTTCCTCCTGCTCTGGAGGGTAGGACCCAAACCAAGGGATTCAAGTTACAAGAAAGGAGATTCCCGACTAAACATCAGGAAATACTTTCTGACAGTAAGAGCGGTTCAGGTGTGGAACTGGGCACCCTTGGGAGGCGATGGATTCTCCTTGGAGGTTTTCAAGCAGAGGTTGGGTGGCTTTTGCAGAGTTTCCTGCATCGCAGGGGGTCTTCGTGGTCCTTTCCAACTCTACAATTTTATTATTCTAAGTATCAGCTAATTAGCTCCATGTATGTGCTCTCATTCCTCAGTAAAGTAACAGAAAACACAGCTTGAGAAACACTGAGCATCACTGAAACAGGAAAGTTACCTTCCCACCTGGTTGTGCACAGATTAATAATAAAAACTATTATTATTATTATTATTATTATTATTATTATTACTACTACTACTACAGTGAATGCTTGGGTTGCGAACGTGATCCATGCGGGATGCACATTCACAACCCGCAGCATCCTCAACCCGCAGCGGCGCGGCGCGATCCGGTGCTTCTGCGCATAGCGCAATTTAGCACTTCTGCGCATGCACGACCGCCGAAACCCGGAAGTAACCCGTTCCAGTACCTCTGGGTTTCGGCGGTCCGCAACCCGAAAAAACACAACCTGAAGCGTCTGTAACCCAAGGTATGGCTGTATTATTATTATTATTATTCCATCCATAAATAATAATGATAATTTATAGGCCACCCATCTGACTGGGTTGCCCCAGTGACTCTGGGCAGCTTTCAACAAATTATAAAACCACAGTAAAACATCACACATTAAAAGCTTCCTGATACAGGGCTGCCTTCAGATGACTTCTGAAAGTCAGATAGTTGTTTATTTTTGACATCTTTGTCATCTCACCAGAGGGCATTCCACAGGGTGGGTGCCACTACCAAGAAGGCCCTCCGCCTGGTTCTCTGTAACTTCACTTCTCACAATGAGGGTACCGGCAGAAGGCCCTCAGAGCTGGACCTCAGTGTCCGGGCTGAACAAGGGGGTGGAATACAGGACCGATGCAACAGGCATAAATTCCTCCTTAATGCTCCAATTTAACTTACCAACCATGGAGACATTATGCAGGAAATTAGTGCCTCCCTCACGTCAGGCTGTGTATCCACAGCAGTAACCAGAGGAGAAATGACCACTGGGAGGAGCGCAGAAGCAAGAAAAGCCATAGTCCAACTGCACCAGCACAGCCTTCATCTGCCCCACTGCAACAAAACAGGTCTCCCCTGTGTTGGCCCCACAGCCACAGCAGGCCCTGCAACTCTCGATCCCTGAAGGGACTCCCCCTCCATTGTCTCTTGAGACAGATGGATACAAACCGTCCGTCGGAAAGAGACTGTTCCTGTCTTAACATCCCATTGCAGTTCATTATAAGTACAGTGGTACCTCGGGTTAAGTACTTAATTTGTTCCGGAGGTCCGTTCTTAACCTGAAACTGTTCTTAACCTGAAGCACCACTTTAGCTAATGGGGCCTCCTGCTGCCGCCGCGGCGCCAGAGCACGATTTCTGTTCTCATCCTGAAGCAAAGTTCTTAACCCGAGGTACTATTTCTGGGTTAGCAGAGTCTGTAACCTGAAGCATATGTAACCTTAAGCGTCTGTAACCCAAGGTACCACTGTACTAAGTAGAGTGCGAAGTTGACTAGACCAGTGATGGCCAAGGTTGGCCCTCCAGCTGTTTTGAGACTACAACTCCCATAGGACCAGTGGTCTAGGATGATGGGAACTGTAGTCCCAAAACAGCTGGAGGGCCAAGTTTGGCCATTACCGGACTAGACCATATACAAGCTTTTGATCTAGTCAATCTCACTCTCAGGGGATGCTTAGAACAAGGAAAATGTTCCTGGATGGAATAGCCTTGCAGAAATGGAGATGAAGACTTGGCAGAAAAGTGCTATACTATCGGAATGAATGAATGAATGAAGGCATGTGTGGATATATAGCCAAGTTCTCATCTTTCCACTTTCACAGGAGAGATGTTTTCCTTTGTTTACGAAGAAAACAGTTTTTTTAATAAAAAAAAGTTTCATCTTGGTCAAAACAGACAAACAGCAGAAAGGTTAAGCTACTGGAAACTAATACGTGATCCTTTGAAAATGCTGAGGTGACTCTAATCCCATTGTGAATGTTTCAGAAACTTTACAGTGCACTGGAGAATCAAGAAGATTATCTACTTCACTCCCAAACAGCCCTCGTCCTGAATTAGTTATTTCCTACACAAACAGTACAATGTACCCATTATCGTTAAGCTTTCCCCTCTGGAATTCTCAAATGTTCTTTTCCCTAAGCAGGTGGATCTAAAATACATTGGGCTGCATTCAACTAACTTTCTTGGTTTTAAAGCTCTAAAAACCAAATCGCGCAGATAAAACTACCACCATCAAAAAGCAGCAGCAATCGTCAACTCCAAATCTAGTGACCAGCTGGCAGTTTGAATATTCCTCCAGGTGCAGACATGCATAAAAACACACATAAAATTTATACCAGCAAATCCAATTATTTATCTCATCTTATGAACAGGAAAGGCAATGATATGAGAAGAGATATGCGGCAGCAAACATTGAAGTTATTTGCGAAGTAGATTAAATGAATGAAGGGAATTGGTAATAATGGCACACATGTACATCATTAAGCCGAAGATAACACATTTAATCTCTGTTAATTTAATTATTATATTTTTAATGTCAGAATAATCTGAAGACAGGCTTTTTATCAGTGCCAAACCATGTTGCTTCGGCTAAGGCAGGCATAGGCAACCTAAGGCCCATTTAACCGTTTAACTGGCCCATGGACCCCTGCCGCCCGCTCGGTTGGCTCCCATGCGCCATGCTAAACCGGCGCAGAGCAGAGCCAAGACCACCTTCCGTGACGCTGGGCGGCTTCCCATTGGCTGCAGGAAGCTCCTCCAGCCAATGGGAAGCTGCACACGCCACCTCCGCGCCGGAAGGAGTGCTGGAAATGTGCATGCATGCGCGCACACACACATGCGCACTCCGGCCCACTGTGGCGTCTGCAGGATCATAAAACAGCCCATGCCCCAAAAACGTTGCCGACTCCTGGGCTAAGGTTACAGTCCTGGCAAAACGTCTATATGACAAAGCAGGAAACCTGTATTGTCTGGGAACTCAGTGCAAAAACTGATATCAGAATTGATGCAGGGCAACATGTCACATTCTTCAATCCAAGGCAGCTGCTCTGAGCACATAGGACACTGTTGCCTTCTCTCTGTGCCAGCTGCTGCATTGGATATGGACCAGCAGCAACACTGCTGCAGATTGGTCTCCATCAGCTGCTCAAAAAATGAGTCACAGCACATTGTACTGCAAGCTGATGCTGCCGTAGGCACCATTTCCCCCCACAGACAGAGGCCAATCTGGATACAGAAAACACTTATTCTTGCGGCAGCTTTATCCCAGCACTGTGCCTCCGAAATCTGGCATTCCCCATGTATCCCTCCATCTTAAGAGAGAGGAAACTAATGATGTATAACAAAAGAATGCTATGCAGATAGGTTTCTTTTTCTCGGACATGACCCACTCCTTGGCTAAAATACTGAGGAAAAGAATATGGCACGGCGCACATGCTACCTGGAAATCTGTTGAGGTTCAATGCCAGTGAACTCTGAATAGAGAGCAAAACATGTTGCACGGGTTAGGGAATGAATGAAGGGGCATTTGTGGTTGCATGCATCACCAATGGCCACACCACCTGCAGAAATCAGGTGCTGAAATTACTGGCAGGCTGTGAATTCATCTCTGTCCTATCAGATGGCAGTACATACGCACATCCCAGTTGGAATCCAAGCACCGCGATACAGTGGTACCTCTGGAATACGCACGCTTCTGGTTACAAACGCTTCAGGTTATGAGCTCCGCTAACCCGGAAGTAGCTGCTCCTGGTTGCGAACTTTGCCCCAGGATGCCAACGGAAATTGTGCGCTGGAGGCGTGCACGCAGCAAACGATTACCTCAGAATAAGAACAGTTTCAGCTTAAGAACTGTCAGGGAACTGACATCGGAGCTAGAGGTGGAGGGAAGGCTCTCCAATGATGCTGGAGAAGGGCCCAGCAGGGAGAGAGGCAGCTCAGCAGATGGGGAAGCAATTCAGTGCAACACCAGGAATAAGGAGGGGCAGATGGGGGAATCGGCGAGAGGGCTCCCAGACTCTTCACCGGACACCAGCGGGGAGAGCACTGGTCCTCCGCTACCCACGCCCTCTCTGCGCGGAAGTCTTCTGCGCAGGGAAAGTAGGAGGAGACTGGGTGTCAAACAACTTTTATGTTGGAAAAGGTTTAAGAAACGCCCACTGACGGATTCTGCTAGCGACTGAGGCAGCCACGAATTGAAGGGCTGTCCAGACAGAAAGGTTTAACAAGGCAACATAGCCAGGAGAGGCGGCAACTTACGCACGAGCAACCCCATACCATTATAAGAACGGACCTCCGGAACGAATTAAGTTCGTAACCAGAGGTACCACTGTACTAGCCATAATTGCTGAAGGGCGCTGCATTTTTTTACAGGACCCAGAGTGCTACTTCAGACATGGTCAAGGTTGATGATGATGATGATAATTTATTATTTATACCCTGCCCATCTGGCTGGGTTTCCCCAGCCACTTCCAACCGAATATTAAAAACAATACAGCGTCAGACATTTAAAATTTCCCTAAACAGGGCCGCCTTCAGTTGTCTTTTAAAAGTAAAATTGCCTTGACATCTGCTGGGAGGGCATTCCACAGGGCAGGCGCCACTACCGAGAAGGCCCTCTGCCTGGTTCCCTGTAACCTCACTTCTTGTAGCGAGGGAACCGCCAGAAGGCCCTTAGGGCTGTGTCCGGGCTGAACAATGGGGGCAGAGACACTCCTTCAGGTATACAGGACCGAGGCCGTTTAGGGCTTTAAAGGTCAGCACCAACACTTTGAATTGTGCTCGGAAACATACTGGGAGCCAATGCAGATCTTTCAGGACCAGTGTTATATGGTCCCAGCGGCCACTCCCAGTCACCAGTCTAGCTGCCGCATTCTGGATTAATTGCAGTTTCCGAGTCACCTTCAAAGGTAGCCCCACGTAGAGCGCATTGCAGTAGTCAAAGCGGACTACTTGGTTTGTGCTGCGCCAAGTGGAATGGATACTTTCCTCCTTTGAATGGCAGGCCTCTCCCAACCCCACGTCACATCGCATGCCACGAACGTAGGGGGAAACCCTGCTGGAGCCAAAAGATCTATCCAGTCCGGCTTCCTCTTTCCCACGGTGGCCCAACCAGATGCGTTCAGGAACCTGAAGAAGGGCAAAAGTCCTGTCTGACTGTTGTACTTCAGCAACTGAACTGCACACTGCAGCTGAACTTGCCCAGTTCCCACTTAAAAGTTATCTAAGCTAATTGACATCACCACATCCTATAGCAAATATTTCCAGAATTTGGAAACATTGGAAAAAGTTGTTCCTTTTTTATGAAACTGCAGTCAATCAATGTGTTTTGATGACCCCAGGTTCTGGTATTATCCACCAATTTCTTCCCAACCATGTATAGACCTCTATCATGCCCCCTTCCCTTTTATTTTAAATACCATTTTTTAAATTAATACTTATCCAAAGATATACAAAAGTTCATATCCAATACAAAGTATCTTTTTTATAATATGCCAGGGTAAAAGAAATGCTTTTAAAATCTAGATCCGGGCCTTCGATTCATTTTCCTAAACATTTTAAAAACAAGATTATGACTCCACAGTAAAACACATATTCAAAAGTTGGTTTTCATCCTCCACTCCAATGAATATCCTTGTTGTTACATATTTTTACGTGGCTGTTTATTTATATATATTTTAAAATTGTATATATGGATGTTTTATGATGGCTTGTATTTGTAATGCCTAATAAAGGTTTGGCGAAGTAAGTACAGTGGTACCTCGGGTTACATACGCTTCAGGTTACAGACTCCACTAACCCAGAAATAGTGCTTCAGGTTAAGAACTTTGCTTCAGGATGAGAACAGAAATCGTGCTCTGGCGGCGCAGCAGCAGCAGGAGGCCCCATTAGCTAAAGTGGTGCTTCAGGTTAAGAACAGTTTCAGGTTAAGTACGGGCCTCCAGAACGAAATAAGTACTTAACCCGAGGTACCACTGTAAGGTATTCATCCACTTCCTCCATCCCAAAACAGGAGCAGGAATGGGAATAATTCTTAGTACTTTTATTATGTTAACATTTTAAAGGCATTTTCCCCGTAAGGCTTATGAGGATTTATCAGAGACTCATTTTTCATGTTCAGCTGGAAGCCGTCCCAAATGCAAATGGCCTTGTTCTGCAATATAGAATCAACTGACTACAGTTATTCTTCCAACTTTGGATTTTCATGTTCTCCTCCTGCTCTAGACTCTGCTGCAACCTGCATGTGTAATGCTTTACTACATTTTCATTAAACAAATGTTGGCCGGGCGCAGGAGGTTTTAAGAAGCTCTGGGTTTTGACTGCAGTGCTCCTTCCGCTGCCAACTACTGCAGGATTTTACAATCTTGAAATGCTGCAAGCCCAGAGGCCAAGTGCATCACCACATCAGTGTTCTGGACCGTGAAATAAAAGCCCAAACGTTATCACCCTTGACTTACAAGTCCCTGGTGCGCAACTGACCATCAGCGCAAAAATGCAGTTTTTAAAAATGGACCATTATTAATTATCTGTCCCAAATCAAGCTATTCAGCACCTGCTGCTGATTTTTGGAGCTCTCTAACTGCAGCCACAGCTGGGAGTGTCTGGCAAAAAGGAGAAGAGCAGAAAATGATCCATGAGTTCTGTGGAAATGTAGTCTCCACTCCGGATTTCTAATGCAGATTTATCCAGAAATTCCATAGGAACTGCAAGCTTTCAAAATAATCATTGCCTCTTGGAAGTGGCACAGTTCACCTTGCCCCTTGGGAAATTCGTTTTTTGTTGTTGTTGGGAATTTACAATTCAGCTGGGTTGGCCAGCTCTTTCGAAAACTACCTACTGAAAATCCAAATTTCAATCAGAAGTCTGTTTTACATAGATTTTCATGGCAGTCCACTATGGATCTACCGACCTTGACTTGGGACTATATTGTTCTAGGTCTTGCTAGAAAAAACATTCACGCCCTCCATAAATGGCTTTCAAAACTCAAATGACCAAGTAAATCTTTGCACAGTAATTCTTTGGCTGAGTAAAGATTCTGAAGTATTTTCCAGGAGCCTTTTCAACACAACTGTGGTTCCATACAACTGAGAGGGTGTTCTGCTCCTAACCCCATTGCCCCACATGACTGCACATTGCAAAGAATATTGGTAATGACGGAAAAGCTCTCTTTTGAGCAACTTGTCTGCCATTGCCAATTTAGAACCCTTGATAAGCTTCTAAGGAGCAGAGTCTGAAAACCACCAGTGTCCTACTTATTAAGTGGTCAAATAATTCGTTTTCTGCGTTAGGACAAGAGCATGCATTTAAAGTAGGAATGGTAATCTTGCAAATGCAATTTTAGTTAATACATTTGATGCAAGAGCTACTCTACTCCCAATCTGGTTTGCCTTAGAAATTCTACCCGCCTTTCCAGATCCATGGTTATGCTAGAGAGTTTCAAAACCCTGCACAATGTCTAGAATCATTAAATCAAGGCAGTGAAAGTCATCCTTAGGATTGATTCAGTCTCGGGGGTGGGGTGCATCCAACTTCAGCTAATTCAGCAACTAAAAAGGATGTGGGTTATCTTCAGTGGTAGAGTGGTAAAGGTGTGAAACCAATTCTAACGATGTTCAACAATTTCTTTCGGCTATAATAGTTAGATATGCCAGTTTAATTCTAGAGGCAGACTGCATCAAGCTTGGTTGTGTAAAAGGGAACTGAACATAACCTGCAGATATCAAGATTTTTGTGCTCTGCACATCATCAAAATATTTGACTAGTTAGAAGAACCGACCTTAGCTGTAAAGAAAACGTGGGCCTGTTCTAAAAAATAATAATAGTGGAATCACCCTTCCTCAAGTGCTTTTCGTTGCATTGATTTAGATTTCCTTTATTATACCAAACTATATTTCTTTCCCTTTCTGCATTTGTTTCCTTCTCCTTTTTTAGTGCTACCTTATACAAGATGCTTTGTCATCCTTTAATATCTCGATCATTCTTGACAACTTTATCTGCTAATACAATCCTGGATAAAGCAATGAGTTGTTCTAGCATTCATATTTTATGTTTCCGGGCCATTTTACTGTAGGGAATAGGGGATTTCCCTTTGTAATTTAATGCACCAATTAAAATATCAAACTATTAACTTGTTCTTGTAAGTTACAAAATAAATGGGAATGCTGAGTATTTAGGTAACAACTACCCAATAAATAGTAACATATATGGAATCCTTTCCTAAGGTATTTTTGGGGCAAACTGCTTATACATAAATGAAGACAGATTTTCTTCTTGTGAATGTGACAAATTGATTGCAACACGAAAACCATTAGGAGTTTATCCATGGCATCTGCATATTAATAATTTTAATCCTAGGCACCATATTCCATATAAAAATGAGCAATCATGACATACCTCCTTAAAAAAGATCAGAATCTGCATTTCAAGTGTAATTTTTTAAAAAAAAAAAATCTTGGAGCAAGAATTTCTAAGAAGCAGCTTGATACTGTTGTGTTATGCATTTATAACTATGCCATATGTATTTTTTAAAAAAAGCAATTATTGAAACTTGCTTTTAAAATGAAGCTGTATATAACTGCAAAAGCATCAGATCAGATGCGTCTGTGGAGATACTGGCTATGTTTAATCAATAATAACCCAACCTAATATAACAACCGTCTACATTTTATAAAATAAAACAAGTGCTAGGGCAAAGTCTGAATTTTAAATCACTGCATGAAGATTACTTTCTCTATTAGAACATAAATAAACAAAAGCGCATTATTTGGTATAGGAAGCTGCTAATGTGCAAAAAGGTAGTAGATAAATCTGTCCAGTTTATCTAATAAATAACAAAGCTTGTTAACACACAAAAAGTATAAAATACGTATTGATCAGAATATTTTATAGAGAGCAGTATTTTTAAAGCAGCTATGCCGACTGTGTTGCTAATATTAGCCTTGTGCACTGTTAGCGGTGTAACAGCGCAGATACAACACTTAATCAGATTAGAATTAGACAAGCTCTCTCTTGTCAGCTGGAGGAGTTCCTCAACTGTTATTTACTGAACAGCCTGAAAGTATGCCATGCTAGGAGATCCTTCCAAACTGCTGCGAATTATTTGTTTAAACCAGCGTGGCTCTTTCTGTTCCTTCGCCATGCGAAGAGGCTGAACTCGATAATATCACGGAACACAGGCCCTGCTGAGTATAAGGTGCATGAATCATTTCATAAGCGATGGTGCAGCCGAGTAGCTCAGCTTCAAAAGCGCCATCACCAAATTTATTTTGCTTCATTGCAAAAAACAGAAGGGGACGGTGGCACACAACAACAACAACATCCCTCCACCCGATTCATCATGCTTCATTTTTTAAAACTAACTAAACGGGGATTTGCTTGCAGTTTCTCCATCTCGGCCAGGAAAGCGAATGTCTTTCTGGCAATCGTTAAAAGTATCTCCCAAAACCGTATTTTCAAAGCACGGTTCCTGCCTTGTTCCCTAACCAAAAGGGCAGCGCCAGCCCCTCACTGTCTTTCACAGCATGCCATCTATTACAAAGAGTTACGAGTCGGGGGGGGGGGGGAATGGTACCCCTTTCCCTTCTACAGCCTCCTTCCATCCATGCGGTGTCAACATCTCATCCTAGCCGCAGGGTTAGGAGCAGCGGAGCATCCCAGCAGAGACGGAGGCCAGCCCAGCCAGTGGAGCTTTGGGGCGCAGGTTGCCATCGCGGCCCTTGCACAACAAACGCATCCTCCGGAACGTCGGCGGACCAGAAGCCCGCCGGCTGCGCGCGGGTCCACGCATACACACGCACACGCGGGGCCGCCCGCCCACTCCAGAAGGCCACCGCAGGCCTTGAACCACCCTTTCCCGTCCGTGAGGCTGTAATAACAGGGACACGGCGTCCCCGCTCAACTTCCTTCCTTCCTTCCTCCTCTCCGCCGCGCCTGGCAACCTCTGCGCGCGCGGAGAAGCAGCCTGGCCGGGCAAGGCGGCGGCGGGTGGGCCTTGTTCTCCCCCTCCAGCCGCGGCCCCGACCCCCTCGCCCGCCCTGGGGGAAGCCAGGGCCGCCCGCCCCTCCTCGCCGCCTTCCCCTCTTACCGCGCAGACCAGACCCCCGCGCGCGCGCGCGCTGGAGCCTCTCCAAGTCCCCCCTTCGGCCTCCGAGCGCCCCCTTTTGCGCGCCGGCGCGCGCCCGGCGGAGAGGCGCAGGGGGGCCTGGCTCGCGCCTCCGAAAGGCGCCCCGAGACGCACAATGCCGCGCAGCACAAAGCCCGGCGGGCGGCGGGCGCGCGCGGCGGCGAGGGGGGGGGGGGGAAGGGAAGGGAGCCTCGCCGGCCTCTCCAAACGCCCGCCGGCGCGCCACGACCCAGGCAGGCCGGGCAAGGCAGGGCAAAGGCAAGGCAGGGCCTGGCCGGGCGGGTCCTTACCGAGCGGCAAGCCCTTGTTGAGGAGGTGGGAGCTGCCCATTGAACCGCGCTGTCAGGGGCACGGCTCCTCCGGCGGCGGCGGCGGCGTCTGGGGCGCAGTGCGGCGCATATGGCGGCGCCGTCGCTCTCCCCGCTCGCCAAGCGGCCCAGACGCTTCGCCAAGAACGGAGGCCGGGAGGAGGAGGCGGCGGCGCGGGAGGAGCTCCAGGCAGGCAGGCAGGCGTTGGTCTTCTGGTTCCTGCCTCGCCAAAGTCCCCGGAAAGCAGAAGGGGCGGGAGGGAGCGCGGGAAGGCGGGAGCGCGCAGGGAAGCGCGCGGCGGGGAGGCGCTCTTCGACCCCAGGCGTCCCGTTTGCAAGCGCAAGAGGCTCGCCGCGGGTGCAGTCACACATATACTTCTCCTACCATTCAGCATCTTAAAAAGCAGAGACAACACCTTGCCAACAAAGGTCCGTATAGTTAAAGCTATGGTTTCCCCAGTAGTGATGTATGGAAGTGAGAGCTGGACCATAAAGAAGGCTGATCGCCGAAGAATAGATGCTTTTGAATTCTGGTGCTGGAGGAGACTCTTGAGAGTCCCATGGACTGCAAGAAGATCAAAACTCTCCATTCTGAAGGAAATCAGCCCTGAGTGCTCACTGGAAGGACAGATCCTGAAGCTGAGGCTCCAATATTTGACCACCTCATGAGAAGAGAAGACTCCCTGGAAAAGACCCTGATGTTGGGAAAGATGGAGGGCACAAGGAGAAGGGGACGACAGAGGACAAGATGGTTGGACAGTGTTCTCGAAGCTACCAGCATGACTTTGACCAAACTGTGGGAGGCAGTGGAAGACAGGAGTGCCTGGCGTGCTCTGGTCCATGGGGTCATGAAGTCGGACACGACTAAACAACAACAACAACCAGGGCAGTTATCTTCCCACAAGGGCCGACATTGATGCCGAAATTGCGAGTGCAACGATTGAAGCGCAGGGTGAGGACCGGGACAGGGAAACCGAAATGCTTGTTTACAAAGCTATTGTACTACCGGCCTTGCTGTGTGCTTGTGAAACGTGGACCACTTATAAGCGCCATCTCCAACTCCTCAAAAGATTCCATCAACGGTGTCTCTGAAAAATTTTACACATCACTTGGGAAGACAGGCGAACTAACTAAGAAGCAAAGATCACCAGTGTCGAAGCAATGATTCTTCAACATCAACTTCGTTGGACTGGTCATGTTGTGTGGATGCCTTATGATTGTCTTCCAAAGCAACTACTCTACAGTTTTCTGCACTTAAAAATGGAAAGTGTAATGCCAGTGGTCAACAAAAGAGGTTTAAAGAATTTCTCCAGGGAAATCTTTAAAAAATGTAGTATAATTACCAACAACTGGGAAACAGTGGCCTACGAGCGCTCCTGTTGGAGAACAGCCTTTACCAAAGGTGTCATGGACTTTGAAGACACTCAAACTCAGGATGCAAGGGAGAAACGTGCTAAGAGGAAGGCACGCTTGGCAAACCCTCACCATGATCAACTCCCACCCGGAAACCTCTGTCCCCACTGTGGAAGGACGTGTGGATCCAGAATTGGCCTCCACTGTCACTTAGGGACTCATTGTTAAGACCATGTTCATGGATACAATCTTCCTCAGCTACAAGTGATTGCCAAAGAAGAAGAAGGGTGTCACGTGCAGGGTGGACAAGTCTTTCCTACCCCTGATAATAGTCACAATTAATTGGAATTGGCAGGCAAGTTCTGCATATTAGGGAACAGGGAATATTACCGCTGTACGACCTCCTTTACTTTCAGCAGGACTTGAGTCAACAGCCGAGTTAGTGCCCTTGAATAATCACACATGTACACACACAGTCTCCCACTGTAAATTGTAGTTGGCAGAATTGGGAAGTGGGCGCCTCTGACACTGCAACTGCTGAGTAGGCAAATCAGCTTGTTGCATTTTCCCCTAAAAACAGGTCATACTTGGGCCTTTCTCTGCCTACTCCTCTGCGTTTTTTTCTCCTAGCCCTTGAAATCAGGGCAATTGTATGAATGCACCAAATGCAAAAAGCTAAGTACAGTGGTACCACAGGTTACATACGCTTCAGGTTACAGACTCCGCTAACCCAGAAATAGTGCTTCAGGTTAAGAACTTTGCTTCAGGATGAGAACAGAAATCGTGCTCCAGCGGCGCAGCGGCAGCAGGAGGCCCCATTAGCTAAAGTGGTGCTTCTGGTTAAGAACAGTTTCAGGTTAAGAACGGACCTCCAGAATGAATTAAGTACTTAACCTGAGGTACCACTGTACTGGACAATGCCACAAAGTTGGCATCTGGTAACAGAAATTTCTAAAAGAGAAGCAAACTCCTTTCCACATTCCTAAGGAACCACTTATAGGTCATTTAAGGAAAGAGATAAATTTTAGAAATATAATAAGTGCTTTGGCGGGGGAGGGGGTACAAGGTCTACACATAAAAATGTATCAGTCTTACCAGCTCCAAATTAAAAAGGTGGAAGGAGAGCCCTTTGCTCAAACCACCCTACTAGATTTTAATTATATTTTCTGCTAAAAGCGCAGTCATTTCTTTTCATTTATTATTATTATTATTAAGGCAACTACAGTGTTCTAAGTAAGAGATTACTTTTGTTCTAGGACAACTAGTAAGAGGACTACAAGACAACTCTAATCAGGAGACCTTTTGTGTTCCCTAGAGCTTCAGTTATGTATGTAAAAAGTACATAAATATATATATAGTGAAAAAGCAAAACTGCCTCCAATTAGATTGTATGGGCTTTATGAAAAAAGGCTGAGGAGCTGGATGTCAAACAAAATATTCAGTTCAGCTCCGCTGCCTGGCTGGGTCAGCTGACGCATAATGCAGTACACACTATACTATAGAAGAATACAATTAACTCTCAGAATGGCTGTGCACTTCAAGGCCTAATAATTTACCTGACTGGAGATGTAGCCATTGATTTCTAATCTGATGCCTTCCAACTGTTTTCAGGAAGCTTCTCACATTGGTTGCAGGAGCAGGAACAGTCAATTCAACAGCTTTAAAATACCTTTGTATTGCTTTCAGTTTCAATAAGGAGACAGCAATAAAGGAAATCAAAACATTTTTATTTTTTTTTGCTATTCATCAATAAAACCTGACTCTGTACACACCCACACACTCACACCCACCCAAGTGCCTCTCATTTGCTGTTTGTATTATGCAAAACAATGGCTTGAGAAAGCAGTTTTTGTTAGAGGCCCAGGAAGAGGCAGTTTTTGGTTTTTTTTAATTATGTCAATAAATTGGTGTTAGGGCGGAAAGAGTTCCAGCAATATCAATCACCAGATTTCACAAGACTCTCCAGAACAGACAGTATTACAAATTTTGGGAATAATAATGAATAGGGGATCATCTAATTATTATTATTATTATTTTAATTGACTGAGGGATTCAGGTCTCCTTTGATCTGCCACTAGTCAGGCCACTGCAAATAGGAATAGATTATACTTCCTATTATAGAGACAACCTTTAGTTTAAAAGGTTTATCACTACAGTGGTACTTCGGGTTAAGAACTTAATTCGTTCTGGAGGTCTGTTCTTAACCTGAAACTGTTCTTAACCTGAAGCACCACTTTAGCTAATGGGGCCTCCCGCTGCCACTGTGCCGCTGCTGCACGATTTCTGTTATCATCCTGATGCAAAGTTCTTAACCCGAGGTAATATTTCTGGGTTAGCGGAGTCTGTAACCTGAAGCGTATGTAACCTGAAGCATACATAACCCGAAGTACCACTGTACTATAGGAAAGAAACAATTCTGCATTAAATTTGTTGTTGTTGTTGTTGAGTCGTTTAGTTGTGACCCCGTGGACCAGAGCATGCCAGGCACTCCTGTCTTCCACCGCCTCTGCATTAAGTTGCACCGTTGCAAATTAATGATCCACATTGAGTTAAACATTATTAAGGTGCAATCCTATACAGCATAACTTGTAGACCAAGTTTAGACATGTCTACTCAGGAGTAAGTTCCATTGAGTTCAGGGCATTTGTTCCCAGAAAAATGTGTATGACTACACTGATGTAAATTAGAGTTACAAGGGCTTAAACTGTGACAGGTTCGCTCCCTGAATGGCTATTTTCGTTCTGCCATTCATGTTTTGATAGCCAGAAAGCTAGCTATAACCTAGATGCAGTGCCATAAAGTCAATGCTTCATATATCCCCAAACCTTTTCTTTGCCTGTCACCAGGTGTATTTCTCATGATCCTTCATTGGAGCCATTTTGGAGCCTTCTAATGTGTCATTTATCTCAGTGTTCAGTCATCATAAAATTACAGACATTTTGAATATGCAGTAGGCATTGCCCTTAAAGGTCTGGAAAAAAGGGAATAAAATTCTCTTATTTGAAAGGGGAAATGGTATTATTTAATATGTGCACGCACACACACACGCACACAGCCACAATAAATGACGAATAGGGAAGATTTCCCCCGATAGATTCTGATAGCCCTTAGCAGATCTCTCTTTGCATCCTTACATTGCCCATCGAACCAGCCTCTTTGATTTCTCTTGTATGCTATTTGTGGTATTGTGCTTGACTAGATAAACCACAGAGACTAGAGCTTACCGATCAGAAGGTCAGTGGTTCAAATCCCCGCAACGGGGTGAGCTCCTGTTGCTCAGTCCCTGCTCCTGCCAACCTAGCAGTTTGAAAACACGTCAAAGTGCAAGTAGATAAATAGGTACCGCTCCGGCGGGAAGGTAAACGGCGTTTCCATGCGCTGCTCTGGTTCGCCAGAAGCAGCTTAGTCATGCTGGCCACATGATCCAGAAGCTGTCTGTGGACAAATGCCAGCTCCCTTGGCCTATAGAGCGAGATGAACGCCACAACCCCAGAGTCGTCCGCGACTGGACCTAACAGTCAGGGGTCCCTTTACTTTTACCTTCTTACTTTGCTTTGTTTAATGAGCTACTCCTCTGATCAGGGCACACCTTCCAACTTCCTTGTTGCCTCCCTAAATCAATAAAAATCAATAGAAATCTGAGGTTCTGCCCCCCCACCAAATCCTGGCTACGCCCTTTTAGCCACCAATGATTTTGAGGGCCGGAGAACCATGCAAAAATCCAAAAATAACAACAAAAGGCTTTAAAAATGGCACGAGAATAAACGGTTGTATTGCTTGACATCAGTACCTGACAAATTTTGAGCTTTCCGTCCAATCTGTCTAATTGCATTGGTGAAATCTTCAAGCAAGGAAGATAATCTGACAGGGTGAGGTGATTCT